GTGCTTGATTCAGGCCACCAGCCTTCTGTTTGTGTGGCACAGCAACTGGCAGCATCAACTTAGCTGCCCAGGTGCCCAGTGAAGCTAATGCTACCTGGGTCCTCTCATCATTAACAAAAGGGAAGCCGGAAGTCAAAGACTGCTGCAGCATAGATGTTGAACTTGAACATCCCACCTCACGGGTTGCTGCAGCAAAATAGCCATTGTGGAACTTTAATCAGAATAGCAACTCCTCTTATTTTTGTGTGGGATAGGCTGGGAGAATCTAGGTGCTGGAAACGGTAAGGGCAAGAATAGGTTTGACCAGGACCCCGGAGATGCCTCCCCCTTCCCAATACGTGAACATTTACTTGTGTAGTTTACCTCATTTACCCGCATACTCCTACATGACTAAATGTACCAAATCCATCTAAAAGTACAAGCTCCTTGGTAAGCCTTTTCTTATGACAATAGCAGAAAATAGCCCCTTCCCCTCAACTCCAATAGCATTAGAGCAATTGATCTAACAGTACTTCCTGCTTTATAAATGACTTATCTTGACTCCTAAAACTCCTTCTTCATACTTATTCATCAAAGCACCAAGCACAGTGCCTCTTGCACAGTCATAGCCACAAGAAATACTGCTCAGGTGAAATCACTATTGCATGAATGAGACAACTACTAGAGAGAAATCCTTGAAAAGCTTCTGAAAAAAAAAACAAAATGTCATCTGCCATCTGTAAGCGTGTGTCCCAGTCATTTATTCCTCCATTATGTTTCTTTTCCTGCTCTCAGAATGTCTACAAAGCTGACCTGGAGTGGCTCCGAGGCATTGGCTGGATTCCCCTGGATTCTGTGGACCATGTGAGGGTTACTAAGAACCAGGAAATGGTCAATCAGGTATGCAAAGCCTGTTCTCCTTTCTAATGCCTGCCCTGCTACCTGCCATGTGGGGGTAGATAATCTGTAGTGGTAAACCTGTCTTAATTGTCTCCGTTTCTTTACAGATAAAATATAAGAAAAATGCCCTTGACAACTATCCTAACTTTACAAGTGTGGTGGATCCTCCAGAGATTGTTTTAGCCAAGATTAATTCTGTCAATCAAAGTGATGTAAGTTTCCTTTGTGTATGCTTAAGTGCATAGACTGGGGAGTTCATTGTATTATTGAGTGGATAAGTTTAACTTTAGATAATTGCTTGTAAAAAAAAAAAAAAAGGAGGTGGTAAATTATCATCTTTGGGGTTGTCTTAAAAGTCACTAGTAGGCTGGGCACAGTGGCTCATGCCTGTAATCCCAGCATTCTGAGAGGCCAAGGTAGGTGGATTACCTGAGGTCGGGTGTTCGAGACCAGCCTGACCAATGTGGAGAAACCCTGTCTCTACTAAAAATAGAAAAAATAAGCTGGGCGTGGTGGCACATGCCTGTAATCCCAGATACTCAGGAGGCTGAGGCAGGGGAATCATTTAAACCTGAGAAGCGGAGGTTGCAGAGAGCTGAGATCACGCCATTACACTCCAGCCTGGGCAACAAGAGCAAAACCCCATCTCAAAAAAAAATCGAGTAGGTGGCAAATTGTATCCATTTTTGGCTGTCTATACTCCTATCCAAATTATTCTGTTGTTTTAGTTAAAATGGACTAAAATTCAACCAGTTGGTCAATTTTAATCTCTAAACGTGGACTGATTATATTTCTAGGTAATCTTGAAAATTTAATATACATTTCTAGTAATAAAATGTTTGCTTTTGTTTTCTCTCCTTAGGTAAAATACAAAGAAACATTTAATAAAGCGAAGGGCAAGTATACGTTTTCACCAGACACACCACATATCTCCCACTCCAAAGACATGGGAAAACTCTACAGTACTGTAAGTTCTCTTTTATGTAGTAACCACTCAACTTCTAATTTTAAGCTCTTGTTGCATTCATATTCTTGGCTGATTTTATGAACTGCTGAACTTATAAGGCAACCCGTTATTTATATTCCCATTGCTCTTAGTCTTGTTTATTAGAAGTAGCATGTTATTCGAGGCAAATGGCGTTTATTTGGCTGGAGCTCCTGTGATGTGCCAGGCACTTCGGGAGGCACTGAGAGCCTAAAGCTCAATGAGGCAAGCCCTTCAGGAGCCCACGCAAGTGAGCGCAGGCAAGGAACAGACTTAAACTGATAGAATAATAATCTAACAAGTGCTCTGTGTACACGTATGATTGAGCACCTATCAACAGAGAAAAGGGAGAAAAGGCTGGTCCCTCTTTAGCAATCATGCACCAGCATCTCCAGCCAACAAGAGGAAAACTTGCCCTCCAAAATTTCATTCAACTAATTTAAAGGAGGACGATGGTGTGCACGTGTGCACCCAATGGGAAAGAATCTTTGCCAGTTATCTCCCTGTGTGCAAATTTCTTGTCACTTTTACTAGGATCGCAAATATAATCAACTCTTATAAAATGCCTAGAGTTGGCTAGGCATAGTGAGTCACGCCTGTAATCCCAGCACTCTGGGAGGCCGAGGTGGATGGATTACCTGAGGTCAGGAGTTAGAGTCCAGTCTGGCTAACATGGTGAAATCCCATCTTTATGAAAAATACAAAAATTATCTGGGCATGATGGCATGCACCTGTATTCCCAGCTACTCCAGAGGCTGAGACAGGAGAATCTCTTGAACCCAGGAAGCAGAGGTTGCAGTGAGCTGAGTTCATGCCACTGCACTCCAGTCTGGGTGAGAGAGCAAGATTCCATCTCAAAAAAAAAAAAAAAAACATAAAAATTAAAATACCTAGAGTCTGTAAATTTAATTTGCAATAAACCAAATAATTTCCCTGTTCTAGTTAGCCACACTAATGGCTATAGATAAAGATTTCAGCCTTGCCTTGAACATACATGTTTCACCTTAATTTGACCCATTGTTTTAGTGGCATCTGAAATAAATGGGATGCAAACTTTTGTTGCCACATATTTCTTTGTTCTAGATCCTGTATAAAGGGGCGTGGGAGGGCACCAAGGCCTATGGCTATACCCTGGACGAGCGCTACATTCCCATCGTTGGAGCCAAGCATGCCGATCTGGTGAACAGTGAGGTCAGTATGACCTTTTCCTCTCCTAAGTTTGGGAGTCTTTATTGGGGATCAAGGGACTGGTTAGAAAACTCCGGCGATTCTCACTGTTGAACCCACTTTACAGCTTAAATACAAAGAGACATATGAGAAGCAGAAAGGTCACTACCTGGCTGGAAAAGTGATCGGTGAATTCCCTGGTGTGGTTCACTGTCTGGATTTCCAAAAGATGAGGAGTGTGGTAAGCAAATGTCCACTTTAACATGGGATTTGTGCCCCGTAAGGGGGCTGTCGTGTCTGCCTGTTTATAACTTGCCCTTGGTTCAGGTTAGTTGGGAAATGGAGTGGTGTGGAGTCCTTCCTGAGCTTCTCCTCTCCCCTGCCAGTCAGCCTGTGGACTCTTGGTGGCTGTGTGTTTTCTCCCTGCCACTTTCTCCCCACTATTAAATACTGTGACTGCTTTGTGTTGGGAAAAGGGAACATCAACAAGGTGACTATTTACCCTGTGTTATAAAAGGATGGGATATTTCAGGCCAGGCGCAGTGGCTCACACCTGTAATTCCAGCACTTTGGGAGGCCGAGGCAGGCAGATCACCAGAGGTCAGGAGTTTGAGACTGGCCTGGCCAACACAGTGAAACCCCGTCTCTACCAAAAATACAAAAATCAGCTGGGCGTGGTGGCACACACCTGTAATTCCAGCTACTCGGGATGCTGAGTCATGAGAGTTGTTTGAATCTGGGAGGCAGAGATTTCAGTAAGTGGAGATCACACCACTACACTCCAGCCTGGGAAACAGAGCAGGACTCCGTCTCAAAAAAAATGTGGGGTGGGGGGAGGATGGGAAATTTCAAAAGAACAAGAATACATTAAAGTATGATTTTTTAACCTTAGTTTATTCTAGAGATACTGATCTATATGGGAAATAAGGATCTAAAAGAGATTGATCTGAATAATTTACATTTAAGTCCCTTTCTTATTTTTGTCTTTAAAATATATTAGTTGAACTACAGAAAACATTATGAGGATACCAAAGCAAATGTTCATATCCCCAACGATATGATGAATCATGTGCTGGCTAAAAAGTGCCAATACATCCTCAGTGACCTGGAGTATCGACACTATTTCCACCAGTGGACATCTCTTCCAGAAGAACCTAATGTTATACGCGTCCGAAACGCCCAGGAGATCTTGAGTGATGTATGATGTCCCTTCTGCAGCTTGACTTAGCTATAGCTTCCATGACTCTGTCTTGGCCACGCCCCCAACCCCAGCTGCCATGTTCCCCTTGTCCCTGTATTCATAAATCGTGTTGCTTCTCCACACAAAGTGGCATGAGTAAGCACCTTTTGATGTAAGAATCCATCCTAAGCCATAGGACATATATGTGAAATATTTGATTGTTTTAACACTAGACTCAGACTTCGATATTGAGCTCCAGCTTCTTTAGGCTTGGGAATTAAAGACCTTCCAGCTGGTGAAAGGCGTACCCTATGTCCTCTAAGCAATAAGCACAGCCAACGACTGATAGGAAATTATCAAATGCTCAGTTGTAAATTCAGAATACCTTCCACATTTCACTGTTCTCTCTTTCTTGCAGAATGTATATAAAGATGACCTGAATTGGTTGAAAGGCATTGGTTGCTACGTTTGGGATACACCCCAAATCCTCCATGCCAAGAAAGCATATGACCTTCAGAGTCAGGTGAGCCACCTTTCTAGAAGGACTGGCCCTCCAAGGGTCATCAGAATCCATGGTGGTGTCAGTGGACTGATGACCAGGCTAAGAAAGCTGCTGTGACAGTGTAGGCTCTGACTGACCGAAGCCCCTCCTCTCCCGGTCAGACCTCTTCTAGTGGCCTGCTTTGGGGCTGGATCTTCCCATATGAGTCTCTCCTGCAGTTTAAGGCAGTGAACATTGATAACCGGAAGTTTATGTGGGAGGTGTTTCATAGTGAGCTACTCTCAAGCATCTGTACTTTAGTTGATCAGGTTAACTTACAGAGAGTAGAATGCAAAAGCGTCCTTTGACTACAGGAAAAAATCACTATCTGGAAAATTTTTCAGCGCATGGTTCAGCTCTGATGGGGCAGATATAATAGAATGTTAAAAGTGAGGGGCTGCTGTCAGGGGTGGAAGATAGGCATGGAAAAGGCAACAAAATGGCCACAGTCTTGACCCCAGTCTTGGTCAAGTGAAACTGTTCATTCTGGCAGCTACACAAAGTCTGCAGGACTCTAGAATGACAACTTGTTTGTTAGGATTAAAGCTGAAATCCAGAAAAAAAGAAAGGCACAGCTAAGTTGGCACAAGCAGCTAAAGCTGAGGACAGACCTGTATGTTACCATTTGTGGTGACTTTTGTTTTTCTTCACAGTTACAATATACAGCGGCAGGTAAAGAAAATCTACAAAACTATAATCTGGTCACAGACACGCCCCTCTATGTGACTGCTGTTCAGAGTGGCATTAATGCCAGTGAGGTGCGTCTTCCTATACTTCCCTTCCTGGGACAAACTGTTTCTTGTCTTTACATATTTTCAAACAACAGAGGTGAATAACCTGTTATTCCTTGTCTATAGGTGAAATATAAAGAAAATTATCATCAGATTAAGGACAAATACACAACAGTTCTGGAGACAGTGGATTCTGACAGAACCAGAAACCTGAAGAATCTGTACAGCAGTGTGAGTTGAGTTTTTTTTTTCCCTCTTATATATGAGCTACCTTTCCCCCTTCCGAGACAGTAAGAGAATAAATGGGATGGAGACTCTATCCCCAAAGGCTTTTCTATGGTTTTTTCCTGGACCTTTGATCCTACTTTACCTCATGAAATTCTAGTATGCACAATCAAATAAGCCCCAAATTAAAGAGGAGTCCTGGGAGTCAGTAGGGAGTGTGTGAGGAGGACAGAAACAGAAGGAAAACCTGCTACTCAGAAGCTAACCAGAATGCATTCCCCATATTCACAAGAAGGTCTTTAATTCCTGCAGAACCTGTATAAGGAGGCCTGGGATAGAGTGAAAGCCACCAGCTACATCCTACCTACCAGCACCTTGTCCCTGACACATGCCAAGAACCAGAAGCATCTGGCCAGCCGTGTAAGTCAAGCAAAAACATGACAGCTGTCCCACCCTCCCTTCCCCTTCCCCTTCCCTTCCCTTCCCTCCTCTCCCCTCCCCTCCCCTGCTCTCCACTCCAAGAATCTTTCAGCCTGATTCATATGTTGTCCAGAAGTACCCCCAGCGCTCCCATGGGCATGTCCAGGAAATAATTCCAAATGCTCAGTCATTAGAGTCTATGTGCTCACTGCCTCTCTCTCTGCTGCCTGGAGAGAATCACAAGCACTTGCAAGAAGGACAGGATGTGACCATTCAGGCTGCCTGTGTGCACAGGACTTGCACGGATAGTCTCTGCTAGAGCCAGAAGTAAGGATGGGCTGAAGACATAACACACCCTACAAAAATAGACTTTTTCAGTAGAATTGCCTGGACGTAGGGCAAAAATAAACCAGTGAATATAACTGGTTATTACTCCATGCCCAGTTAATACAAATTATTTTATAGCAATGAAATAGAAAACATTAAAAAATGTTAATCCTACTTTTTTAAGGTAGAACTTTTCTTAGATATAAACATAACTGTATAACAAACCAACCCTAAATCTCATGAGCTGTTTAAATATAGTAGAAGGTCGTATGTCCTCTCTTTATGCTTCTATGTCTTATGCCCTCTATCCATTAATGCACTAAAGTAAAACCTTTTATTGTAAAATTCCCTGTAACCTTTATTGTAATTTGTAGCCCAGTTATCTTTCAAAAAATTAGAGACTTGACCTCCTAATTGTGAACATTTTATATAACACTTTAAATTAGCATTTCTCAAACATGTTTTGACCGTGACTCACAGTGAGAATTTTTTTTATTTCAAGTACACACACACATCCCTGAAGTTTATGTGAGTTTCTTCTGGTATAATTGTCTCACAGAAGAGTAGTGACTGCTGTACTAGAGACAATGTACTCTGATCATTTCTATTCTGTTCTACTCATTTAAATGCTAGTGACTCAGTAAATTGATTTCACTACTCTACTGGGCTTAGAGATGCACAGCTTAGAAAAAAAATTCATTAGACAATCTATGGAGTTATTTAATTTTTACCTGGAGGAAAAAGTAAGTTACATGATTTTACCCAGACCCAACTCTATTTGGAAGATTGCAAAAAGGAGCAAACTTTTCATTTGGGAAGAAAAGTGTTATAGATAAGATTTACAAAGCTCAACAGAGGCTTTTTCCTTGAATCATGAACAAAATTATAGAGGCAAGCTTCTTAGCAAATTGGTTTTGGAGCAAGGTAAAACAATTAATCCTGTAAACGAAGTATTCTGACCTTATTTTAGGGAAAAAAAAAAAAAAGTTTTGTTGTTTTTTTAAAAGGGTGCCTTTAAGTGCCATCATCTTTGAAGCTGATAAATAGATTAGATGTAAGAAGCTGATTTTCTGTTCTGGAAAAATCTGGTGGAAATTTTGGTTGGTCTCCAGTCAATGAAGGGCATTGCTGAAATTCTGATGCAAATACGTACTTTGAACTCTCATTTGTTACGGAGGTGCAGGTCTGAGTTGCGGGAGAACTGTTGTTTTATTATCGTGTGTTATGAGACTGGATCTCAGTCTCTGTCTTAATCTGGTTTATGTAATCATGGCACACTAATTAATAGGCAACGTGGCTTAAGAACTAATTGTTATCCCAGAGAAGTTGATTGCACTGTATTTTTGAAGGCCTTGTAGAAACTGAAATCCAACGATTGTGTCTTCTTAGCAGCAGACTTTTCAGTTATTAAAAACTAAGAAATTCCTGAGCACAGTTTTAATCTTGTATTCATTGTAGTGAGAAAAACAAAGCCATTACCACAAGACAATATTTTTAAGTTACATACTCATTAAAATGAATTGCTTGTAGTAACAGTAAAAGTGCTAGTATTGGCATAGGAGGTTTTTTTTTTTTCCATTTATTTATTTTATTGCATTTTAGGTTTTGGGGTACATGTGAAGAACATGCAAGATTGTTGCATAGGTACACACGTGGCAGTCTGATTTGCTGCCTTCTTCCCCATCACCTACATCTGGCATCTCTCCCCTTGCTATCTCTCCTCAACTCCCCACCCCCCACCGTCACTCCCCTGTTTCCCCCCAACTGACCCCAGTGTGTAGTGCTCCCCTCCCTGTGTCCATGTGTTCTCATTGTTCAACACCCACCTATGAGTGAGAACATGCCCATCAATGATAGACTGGACAGGGAAAATGTGGCACATATACACCATGAAATATTATGCAGCCATCAAAAACGATGAGTCTGTGTCCTTTGTAGGGACATGGATGAACCTGGAAACCATCATTCTCAGCAAACTCACAGAAGAGCAGAAAATCAAACACCGCATGTTCTCACTCATAGGCATAGGAGTTTTGAAAACAGCAACTAAAATTTCAGAGTGCTCTACAGTTTAAAAGTACTTTTGATACAGGCTGATTTCAGACACACAATAACCCCATGGCAGGCACTGGTGCTGTATCTCTCTGTACAGGTGGGGAAATGAGTTCAGAGGAGTAGCATCCCCAGCGCTGGATGGATCTCAGAGTCATTTTTCCCATTAAATCTTACGCTCTTTTAACAATATAAATCTATACTCTCTAAAACTATGTTTCTTTCTTTCTTTCTACTTTTTCTCTATAGATCAAATATCGGGAAGAATATGAAAAGTTCAAAGCTCTTTATACGTTACCAAGAAGCGTTGAAGATGATCCGAACACAGCACGGTGCCTCCGAGTTGGCAAGCTTAACATCGATGTAAGTACCATCATGCATCCCTTAAAGACTAGGATACCTTCTGAGAACTGCGCCGTTCATGATGGGATTCCATTGTGCTAACATCATAGCGTGCACTTACACAACTAGATGGTGCAGCCTATTGCTCCTAGACTACAAACCTGTACATGTTACGGTACTGAACACTGTAGGCAACTGTAACACAGTGGGAAGTATTTGTGTATCTAAACATGGAAAAGATACAGTAAAAATAGAGTATTATAATATTTTCACTGAAACATTGTTATGTAACACATGACTGTAACTCCAAAGACTTTACTTCAAATTGAAGCCAAGTAAAATAACCATGTATTATTAATAGGAACATTTCTTTTCTTTCTTCCTTCCTTTCTTTCTTGCTTTCTTGCTCTCTTTCTTTCTTTCTTTTTTTTTTTTTTAAGATAGGGTCTCACTCTGTTGCCCAGGCTGGAGGGCAGTAGGGCAATCATGGCTCACTGCAGCCTTTACCTTCAAGGCTCAGGGAATCACCACACTTCAGCCTCCTGAGTAACTGGGTCTACAGGCATGCACCACCATACCCAGCTAAGGTTTTAAGTTTTGATAGAGATGGGATCTTGCTATGTTGCCCACCTGGTCTCAAACTCCTGGGCTCAAGTGGTCCTCCTGCCTCAGTCTCCCACAATGCTGGCATTACAGGTGTGAGCTGTCACGCCCAGACTGAACGTTTTCTGTTTACCAAGGCATGTGACACTGATTGTGCACATGTAAAGATACTACACATTATTTCAACTATAATGTTTTTTTTTTTTTAATTTTCCCTGGTATTAATCTGTAGGAAATGTCAGAAAATAGCAGCCCCTGCCCGGCCCCCAGCTGTTTGCTGTGAGTTGGTTAGCCTGACCTCTCATGTATGGCCATGCTGCCTTGGCACAATTTCCTGTATAACTGGCATGTGATTTTAACTTCACAGCGCCTGTACAGATCAGTTTATGAAAAGAACAAGATGAAAATCCACATCGTCCCCGACATGGTAGAGATGGTTACCGCCAAGGATTCTCAGAAGAAAGTCAGTGAGATTGATTACCGCCTGCATCTCCACGAATGGATTTGCCACCCCGACTTACAAGTCAATGATCATGTCAGGAAAGTCACAGATCAGATCAGCGACGTAAGCCTGTCACTTAAGAAGCACCCTCCACTGCCCTGCCCCACGCCCCCACACAAAAGAGCAACAGACTCACCCATTTCTTTACCGTAGCCTTTTTCCACTATTTCTTTCCTATATGTCCATGGTCTGACTTGATTCAGGAGCCATCTCTGGGAGCACAGCTCTGTGTATGGATGTTTCTGTGGCTCCCCTGAGCCTCTTTGCATAATGTCTTTGCTCGTCATTTTACAAAGGCTTCTGGGTCCAGAATGTGCCTATGTTTTTGTTAAAAACATAGGTCAATTTTTATTACGGTCAATTTTTTTCTCTGATCCTTTCTATCAAAACCCTCTAGATTGTGTACAAGGATGACCTCAACTGGCTGAAAGGCATTGGTTGCTATGTCTGGGACACTCCTGAAATCCTCCATGCCAAGCATGCTTATGATCTACGTGATGATGTAAGTTTGCCTCATTTTGTTCTGTAGTATATTTCCATTTCTGCATAGTCTAGAGTCAAGAGGAAATTATTTAAAACAGGGACATTGTCACAGATTAGCTGTGGGGGTGGCTGAGCTGAAGGAGGATGCTAGGAGCAGAGCAACTATCACTTGGGGAAGCATATGGCACTCTACTGAACGATGCAGTCCAGGTATGCCATCGTCCTCTGGTGGAGAAGGGACTGCTGGCTCTTCTTTTTACTTTTTAGGCTATTTTGGATATATTAACAAGCACTTAATTATCATTTTAGGAAAGTGCCTTTTGTTAGTGTTTGCAATGCTATAGACCAGATCTATTTGTAAAGAGAGGATTTTCAGGCAAATTAAATACTGTAATGAGGATTTCAGTAAGAAAACTTAAACTTTCCTAGAAGAGTAGTTGTCAAGTGTCCTAGAAGATGCAAGAAGCCCCATATCGCTGTTATAAAATTCAAATGCATCTTGGTCTGTCAAACAAGTGCGGATGAATGTAAAGCTCATGAGTTAAAAGCAACCAAACCCTCTACGAAAACCAGCAGTTTCAAACATAAGGAATGGTCCAACATGGGCTTGTTTTCTGCTTCTCGGCAGATCAAGTATAAAGCTCACATGTTGAAAACAAGGAATGACTACAAGCTTGTCACAGATACACCAGTCTACGTGCAGGCTGTCAAAAGTGGGAAACAGCTAAGTGACGTAAGTGCTCCCTGGGGAAGTTAAGTGGACAGTAACAAAGACAGGGCCACCACTCAAGCAGAGGGGTAAAAACCACAGGCTGGGCAGTGCCAAGTCTTTTCTAACTGAGAAACCAGAGTTGGTACCTTTGAAAGTACTGATAATGCTGCTGCTGTTTCCTAAAGCCTGACGTGTTAAGCAGTTTGCTGGGGTAGAGTTGTAAGTGATCTGAGTCTATGAAGTAACTTTGGGCCTTAGCGCTTCCAACATTGTTTCTTGTGCCCTGGGTCATTGCAAGTTTATCTCTGTCTAAGCCATTTAATAAATTAGAGCCAACTATGGTAGAATAAGAAGCAAGCAGGCTCTGAGGTTAGAGATGTGGAGCGCAGTCTCGCCTCTACCACACACTATCTATGAGGCTTGTGAAAAGCACTGAATCCATCTGAGCCTCCCATCCTGATGCATAAGATGGGGACGTAAGGAAGCACCCACTGTGATGCCTGACGTGGAGCAGGCAGGGCAGGCACAAAGCTGCTCTTTCTTTATTAACTCTACAGGATGATAAGTCAATATCAGATCCCACCAGTGAAAGCAAACATTGAGACCTAGTATTTTGGAACTTCTAGTGGTAAAATGCCCACCCTTCCTCTTCTTGTGCCTGGGCCATCTCTTGTATTCCTCAGTGTGAGTGTCCACACCCTGGCTCTGATCCTATTGGACAAGCCACAGTAAGGTGCCAGATGAGTTCTCCAGGCAAAGGAAAGCAGGCTACCATTATTTTTTTTAAAGAGAGATCTGGGTTTCCCTTTTCTTTGCTTCTAATAATGCTTCTCCCTGCACCAGGCTGTCTACCACTATGACTATGTGCACAGTGTCAGAGGCAAAGTGGCTCCAACTACCAAAACTGTGGATCTGGACCGGGCCCTCCACGCGTACAAGCTGCAGAGTGCGGTGAGCAGTGAGAACTTGAGTGCCCGGCAGAAATCCATTCCATCAGCCTCTGTGGAAGCAAGCTCAGCCTGCTTCCTCTTGACATGTCCGTGTAAAATATAAATGCTGTTCCATTCACATGAGGTGAAAAAAAACAAAACACGAAACAGAGCATACTCTGTCTTCCCTCCTGGCTGCCAGGATCCTCCTGTGGAGCAATCAACCCAACATAAATGGGCATTTTTCAGCAATATTTACAATTTACAAAGAAGAAAGCCAGTATACCTTCTCAGCTTTCAAAACGCTGAAAATCGGGATGACAGAGATAAGGCCTTTAACCTCAATAAGAGATAAACTAGAAATTGTTGTTGGTATTCAGAAGAGAAAGAACCTAGATCCCACCTACCTATTCTGTGTTACCCTATGGTGCTGATTTGGTCTCAAATTTTCATGCTATTTCCCGTCTTGAGCATTAAAAATAATTTTGGGCCAGGTGCAGTGGCTCAAGCCTGTAATCCCAGAAGTTTGGGAGACCAAGGCAGGCGGACCACCTGAGGTCAAGAGTTTGTGACCAGCCTGGCCAACATGGTGAAACCTCATCTCTACTAAAAATACAAAAAATTAGCTGAGCGTGGTGGCTCCTGCCTATAATCTCAGCTACTTGAGGAAGGAGAACTACTTGAACCCAGGAGGTGGAGATTGCAGTAAGCCGAGATTGCGCCATTGCACTCCAGCCTGGGTAACGAGCAAAACTCTGTTCCAACTAATAATAATAACAACAATTATTATTATCATTATCATTATTATTATTTTGGCCAGGCACAGTGGCTCATGCCTGTAATCCCAGCACTTTCAGAGGTTGAGGCAGGCAGATGGCTTGAGCCTGGAATTCAAGGCCAGCCTGAGCAACATGGTGAAACCCCATCTCAACAAAAATAAATAAATTAGCCAGGCATGGTGGCATGCTTCTGTGGTCCCAGCTACTTGGGAAGCTGAGGCAAAAGGATTACCTGAGCCCAAGGAGGTCAAGGATGCAGTGAGCTGTGATCGTGCCACTGTACTACAGCCTGGTGACAGGGTGAGACCCTGTCTCAAAAACAAAATAAAAATAATTTGGTTTTTCATATTTTAAATGTAATTCTCAATCTTAAACTCCAAGAGACAGAGTATTTAAGGTCACAGACAGACACTCCGCCTTGTCCTCCCTTTCGCCATGAACGTGTGCATCCTGACCTCTTCACAGCCTGATGTCAAGACATTGTGTTTGGAGGGGGCAGGAGAGGGTAACACAAACATACACCTGGCTATATCTTGGTGATAGCTTGAATATCATCACCTGAGATGGAGCAATGACAAAGGTGACACTTGGTTACCTGTCTTCTCTTCATTTCCTAAATTCTTGCTAGATGCCATACAGTCAACTGGGCATATATATGTTCAGAAGCATACAGGAATTACTTTTTTTTTTTTTTTTGAGACAGGGTCTCCTCTGGAGACTCCCAAGCTGGAGTGCAATGGTGCAGTCACAGCTCACTGCAACCTCAAACTCCTGGGCTTAAGCGATCCTCCCACCTTAGCTTCGCAAGTAACTGGGACTACAGGCACATACCACCATGCCTAATTTTTAAATTTTTTGTAGAGATGAGATCTTGCTATGTTGTCCAGGCTGGTCTCAAATACCGACCTCAAGCAATCCTCCTGCCTTGGCCTCCCAAAGTGTTAGGATTGCAGATGTCAGCTACCACACCTGGCCAGGAACTACTTTCAATAAACCATTGTTCTATTTTTCCAAAACAATAGGTGAAAAGTAAAGTGACTTATTTCATGACTCTTAGAATGTATTTAATTTTTTCTTGAAGTCAATTCAGTGAGCATAAGCATGTTAAGTATCTAGTCCAAAACCTAACATGAGCTATATGCGATTTGTTGAGCTCCGATCAGTTACCTCATGCCAGATGTCATTTAACCTGCCGTTCCTCATTCCTGCAGAATCTATACAAAACCAGCCTGCGCACCCTGCCCACTGGATATAGACTACCAGGTGATACTCCTCACTTCAAACACATCAAGGATACCCGTTACATGAGCAGTTATGTGAGTAGTCTCCTCCTCATTGAGATGGGTCTGAAGGTGGAGTAGGAGGAGACATATTAATAGCCTGTTCTAATTCTCCAGTCATACCCTAAAGGTTCAACCTGATATAATAATGGGAGCTGGGGAGGAGGGACAGCACATTTTTAGGGGTGCCGTGGAATTGACCACTTCTGCAATTCAGCAGTACCTGGGTAGCCCTGTGGGTTAGAATAGGATGTTCGTGGGCTACTTGGCTGAGGGCAGACAGCGGTCATGATGCTTCTACTTCTGCTGGCCTTGCTTAGCACAGAAGCACCCTGAATTATCCCAAACCATTTACTGGAAATGCAGCTTCACACACGTACTACTGAGGCGTGGTGATAGTATTGTCTTCCCTCTGCTATGTTTAACTGCAGAAGCTGTAACATCCCCATGTGTTCCTTCGAAAAGAAGACTTCTTGCCGAGCTGTTGGCACTGATACTTATCTCACTAATCCTCTGTGCCCAGTTCATAGAAGACTAGAGGGGTAGATAGGCTCTTACTACCTTCAGCTTGCTCCGATAACGACACTCATGCTGCCCTTCTCCACTTTTTACAAGTACCCAATTGGGACTTGATGTATTTACCACATGGAGAAGGCTTAGGGAAGTTGTGGCCATCCCAGGAAGTCTGGCCTGCATACCACAACCAGCCACTGGTAGAATAATCAGCTCTCCCTCCACACTACCCTTCATAGTCCTGAAAATCAAACCTGCTGGCCATAAAGGACCCAATAGCTTATGGTTCAATAATGTACTTCCAAAGTAGACAGTCACAGCTTTACTAATCTAACACCTAAAGGATGTGTTAAAATCAATCTACGAGGCCACTCATCAGTCCTAAATACATTCTCTTGTTTCTTTGTATTTTCTAATTTTCTAGCCACATTAGGGCTAAAAATATAGATTTTTCTCTGTCATTTTGCATACCTCTCTACAAACAGATTTCACCTAGGAAATGTTGAATTTTATTCCTTTCTGGGACTGGTTTTGTTTTTCAGCACATAATTTTCAAGGTCTGGATTAATAATGAAATTTTGTCCATGCTTTTCTTCATACTTAATTCTTTAAAAGAACAATGTTTCAAATAAAGGTGACGTCTCTTTTCTATTTGGAGAAATGTAATGTCGCTCCTTGTTTACCCATCATTAATCTCGTTCTGACTTTGCTTTTGCAGTTCAAGTACAAAGAAGCCTATGAACACACCAAGGCATATGGGTATACACTCGGTCCCAAAGATGTTCCATTTGTCCACGTCCGGAGAGTCAACAATGTTACCAGCGAGGTACCTGAATGCTGATTCTCTGAGAGACATACTGAGTTTCAATGGCCATGGCTTTGTTTGAAATGCATTAAGAATTAATTGTAAACTTACATACCATCAAAAAGGAAGAAAGTCCTTATTGTCACATTTTGATGCTGGCCTTTTTTGGCAGTATTTTCTTGTTGTTGTTGTTGTTGTTTTTGTATTTGGTAATGCCTTGCAGAGACTCAGTTTCATAGATTATGATGCAAAACTTTTCTAAAGAAATAATTTCTTCTTTTGACATTTATGTTCAAAAATCTTTGATAAGGTTGCATTTTAGTCTGACTCATGACCTTGGTTTTCTACACCAACTACTGGTTTGCATATCTGATCCTGCTATGCAACATCTGATAGAAAGTGGAAGGCTTTGTGCTCAGAATTCTTTATCTAAATGAAATAACTCTCGTTTTCTCCTTTTTTCCTAATCTCAAATCATTTTCTATATCCTTGATATTTCTTCCCCTGGCTCTTTATGTAAAATATTTTGTTGTTGATTAGTCAGTAGATACCCTCAGCAATCCCCTACTAAATACCTGTAATTATGTTTCCTCCAATGCAGAGACTGTATCGAGAATTGTACCACAAACTGAAAGACAAGATCCATACAACTCCTGATACCCCTGAGATCCGCCAAGTCAAGAAGACACAAGAGGCTGTCAGTGAGGTGGGTATTTTAGAAAGACAGGGAGTGGAGACCTGGGATAATGTCAGTTGTTCAGTCTCTAATGCATGTGTTTTTGGGTATTTTTTTCTTTAGTTGATCTACAAATCAGACTTCTTCAGGATGCAGGGCCACATGATCTCTCTGCCATACACACCCCAAGTGATCCACTGCCGCTATGTGGGAGACATCACCAGTGATGTAAGCATCTCGTAGGGGTCTTTCTGGAGTAGTCTTACCAAGAGGCAGGCTTGCTTTCAGCAAGTAAAGCAACCAGTGGTCTTTGAATAGCCTTTTCTGATAAGCATTTCTAAACCAAGAATACAAGTTGGAGGTAAGGCAGTGTGGAAGGAGGATGCTGCAATTCTCCACCTATGGAAACAGAGGACCAATTGGCAAAGACAGAATTGCCACCATTCTTGATCACCTAGTGACCACCATTCTACATTCAACATGGAATCATTCCAACTCCTCACTCACTATGTTGCCTCCATCCCAGGTCATGATCAGTATTTTCCTCTGACTCATCCCTACTCCAACCCCCATTAGCAACTTCTTGCTGCCATTTTTTCATTCTCCTTGTATGTTCTCTCCTTCTAAAAAACCAATCCATTCAATCTGTTCTTTTCTCCAATCAATATTATAGTAATAAAATAGCAGTGTTCTTTCCTCGGCTTGGGGTTAGAGACTTAAATGAAAAAGCATGTGATTTATTTGGATGTAAGTAAACTAAGAGTACAAGGCAGATGAACTGGCGGCCAGGCACGGTGGCTCACACCTGTAATCCCAGCACTTTGGGAAGCTGAGGTGGGTGGATCATCTGATGTCAGGAGTTTGAGACCAGCCTGGCCAACATGGTGAAACCACATCTCTAGTAAAAATACAAAAATTAGCTGGGCATGGTGGTACACGCCTATAATTCCAGCTACTTGGGAGGCTAAGGCAAGAGAATTGCTGGAACCTGGGAGGTGGAGGTTGCAGTGAGCTGAGATTATGGCACTGCACTCCAGCCTGGGTGACAAAAGCAAAACTCTGTCTCAAAAAAAAAAAAAAAAAGTAGATGAACCAAAATGAAAGATACAGTAATAAAGAAGTGTTGCTACTCCATCTTTTGTGTTTCCTGATTTACATTTGCTTATGACCAGCTATATTTCTGTGTTTGCCTGTCAGATTAAATACAAAGAGGACTTGCAGGTCCTGAAGGGACTTGGCTGCTTCCTGTATGACACTCCTGACATGGTCCGCTCCCGGCACCTGCGGAAGCTCTGGGTGAGTGCACATCATCACAGTGCATAATTAACCCTGCACAGCTGGATGCACCCATCATCCAGCCTCCAGGGCTAGGAAGAAGGGATCTTAGCCTGCAGCTACTTTTAAGGGGAAATTTACCATTAACCCACGTGAGCAGGTTATCACCTGCTTATTATGATCTGTGCCTCCTGTGAAAAGTACTGAGCTTAGTTAAATGACAATTGTTGTTTCTGCCTGAGAAGTCACCCAGAACACATGAAGGCCCTGCTCAGCTTACACATGCCAGACATTTGAAAGACAGTATGACATGAATTCCTTAAGTGATTAATCAACTTGTATTTCTGTTTTTTTTTAAGTCTAATTACCTGTACACTGATAAGGCAAGGAAGATGCGAGACAAATACAAAGTGGTGCTTGACACTCCAGAATACAGAAAAGTGCAAGAACTGAAGACACATCTGAGTGAGGTAAGGACACTTTACTTGTCACTAAAGTCAACCAAATTGACCAGTACAAACTGAATTATTCCACAAGTGATCGCTGTTCAGGCAGCTGCAGCAGGTAACATATTACCCCTCTTAACTGTGGAATGGCTACTATGTCTAAGCAAGTCAACTGACTGCACTTTACCTCACTTTACTTATTTTGCCCCTTTTGTTAAGTTATGCATATTAATACTTGCGCTTCCTATATCTAGGGCTGATGAGGTGTTTTACTTGATTTTATAGATTAGAAAGACCTTCTTATTTTTATTGTCTCCAAACTGATCTTGTTTCAAAATTTTCTTTCGCTTTGATTCCCACCATCAGGAACCCTGAGCACGGCAGTGCCATTGGAGAAGTCTTCAGTGGCTCCTTGCTCTGCTGCACACTCAATAAACTGCAGGCTACTTAGTCTCATTTTCATCTGGCACTGAGGCTCCTGATATATTGCAGTTATTTGTGAATAGATCTGATCCTCTCCTTAGACTCCTGGTTCCTTGATAACTAGACCCCATGTTATTTACATGTGTCCCATAGTACCTTGGCCATAATAGATGTGCATGTTTGCTAAAGGGCATTTCACAAGCGTAAATGATTGCTCTTCATATGGGTCAGCTGGCTATTCCCATTCTACTGTCACTCTGGTATTGTAGCTCTGTTCATCAGTTTGTACATTCACCATTCTGTATTGTGGCTTCACCCAGCTGAGCACTGGCTTCCAGGCCATTTCACCCTTCTCAGTAGCTCTGATGGCTGCTGATGAGGAATCTTATGCTCTTAGCGATGCCCTGAAATACCACATCGCCCTTAGTGGAGGGGATATGCAGCTTCCTATACTCAGTGAGCCAGAGACAAAGGATGACTAACTCTTCAGCTTTTGCAAATGCAACATTGAGCCCATTTGCATTCCTGCAAGCTGCTCTGTGTCACTTCAGCCAGTGCTTACACTCAGACCGGAACACTTGTGTTATTTTTATCCCAGTAAAGTTGTGCTTTTCCACTCTGGTTCAGCATGAGAATCACCTGTGGAATATTTAAAAACCACCCAGAGAGGGCTCTGACCCCTAGTTCCACACCAGACTCAGATTTTCTGTGTCTGGGTATCTGTATATTTTCACATGCTCCACAGAGATTCTACTTAACAATACGCAGGCTGTGTTGAAAACCACTGCACCACATCTCTTCTCCAGCTACCAAATAATAATAATAAATTGGTAACTTACAGTGCTTCAGAATAAAGATAACTCTGAAATACCTTTACTCTTTTTGGCTTTCAGGGTTCAGAATTATCTAAAACTTTAGTTTCTCCACTTCTTGATTCCGAGGGGGATTTTGTGCCAATTGTGCATCAGCACTGAGGAAGAAGAATGGATACTTTTCAGTAGTGCAGTTTTTTTGTCTCTTCATAACAATGACCCAGGCTTGATAAAATGCTTATCCAAGGCACTCCCCTGAATTCAGAAGGGTTGGGATAGAGCCTACAAATCTGTTTTTAATAAGAACCTTCCTGGGTTTTAATATCAGGAAAGTTTGGAAAACATTGAGTTAGTAAAAAGTTTGATGGCCAAAAGAAGTTCAAGTTACTGACTTTTGAGCTGTCTTTCAATTGTATAGATTCTTGACATACACACATTTGTAGTACTAGGAAGCAGGGGTGTTGTTTCAAGAAGCATAAGCATTGCACACCTAAGTACAGGGGAAATAAAATACACAGAGAAATGTATAATTCTAGAAATGGCATAGAGGCCAAGCACAGTGGTACACACCTATAGTCCTAGCTACTTGGGAGGCTCAGACCAGAGGATCACTGGAGTGCAGGAGTTTGAGGCCAGCCCGGGCAACACAGTGAGACCCTGTCTCTAAAACTACATAAACAAAATAAAAATAAGAAAAAAAATGGCTTGGGAGAATTGGTTTTTAGTCCCAGATTTACTTCCGGTTAGCTATATGACCTTATGTAATTCACAACTTTAGCACCATAATTTCCTAAAGAATTGAACTAAATGATGATTTGAGCTCTTTTTAACCATAAAATTCTATGAGTTGTTGATTTACTTTACTAAAAATTGAGCGTGGAAGAAACATTAGCTTTCATTTAGTTTATCTCTTTTTTTTTTCAATAGTAACACACAAAAAAGCCCCAAACACATGAGCTACACTTTTCTTTTAACTTGCATTGGTATGTAATTTGGATTTAAAGAAATTGACCTGTGTGTGCGTGTTTAAAATATTTCTTACATTTTATCTGTTCAACTGGTATTTATATCCATGATTAGAATCTATTTGGTATCCATTTGTTCTTTCTCATTTGCTTCATTATGTTAAATTCCTTCAACATTTATTAGGGAACTGCTATTTTTTAGACCCTTTGAGCTCTAGTTGATGAAATGATCATAGCACTAAACTGCCACGCCCTAGTCTTGAAGAAGAAACAGGCATCAGTGTGATAAATGGTCTCATGTAGGAATAGTCAAAACAGCATGGACTCTTGGAGTTTTCCAGGCAAATAAGAGGGAGAAGAACACTCAAGGCAGGAAGAACGGTATGTGAAAGCAGCCATAATAAGTTCTAGGAACTGGGACTAGTTTACATAGCACACGAGGGGTGTGGAAGAACACTGGGAAATTATAGAAACATGGGTTGGAGCCAGGTATAAAGACTTGTAGGTGTTATGTAAATGACCTTGGACTTAATGAAAAATCATTGAAGAATTATTTCTAGGAAGAATAGATTTGAGCATTAAGAAAATATGTGTCTCAGACTTTTGAAAGATGGGTGAACCGTGGAGTGGTCCAATAGAGGAGTTGAGCAGGTGGTTTTGACATGTAAAAAATAAGACGGAAGGCTGAACTAGGGCAGTGGTGTTGGCAAAGAATCAGATTTCAGGAATATCACAAAGTTAGGAGCCCAGGATTCATGACCATTTTGATGTAGGAGCCTAGGATGACTCCCCCAGTTTCTGGCCTGAGTAATTGGGGTAGCAATGAGTCATTTAGCAAAGTAGAGGAAATAGGAGAAGCAGCAATTTGAGATAGAGATAGAGGCAATATAAAGAACTGCACATTGAACATAGTAAATCACCCAAATTCAGAAAGTTGTTGAAAACTTGGATCTGGAGCTCAGGAGAGGCACTGGATATGTAGATTTGGAAGGCATCAATCTCAAAGTGATGCTTGAGATCACAGGTACAGATGAGATCACCGCAGGAGGATGTATGGGGTGAAAGGGGCCAATCCTTCACTCCAGCAGCCTTTGCATAAGGGCAGAACCACAGAGGGAGGCTGATGAGGAGACCTAAAAGACAGGAGGCCACCTAGGGAAGAATGCTGGAATGGAAGCCAGAGAAGAGAGTTTTCAGGAATGAACACTGAGCAGCTTCAGTTGCTACAGAGAAGTGTTATTGTATTTGGCAATCGTGAAGTTCTTGGTAGTCTCAACGAGAGTGACTTCATTGATGTGGGTAGGTGGGAGCCAAACTATGGTCTTGAGAAATTAATTAAAATAGAGGCAAAGAGGAAACACAGGCAACTTGACTGAGAAAAGAAGAATGAAGTCCATTGTCTGGAGGCTGGAAAAGGCTTAATTAATGACAGAGGTGGGGGGGTGCGGGGAGAGGTCTTGAGTCTTTTTGCAAATGAAGAGAGAGGGTTGGGAAAACAGGAAGGGTAGAAGATACAGAGGAGAAGCAGACAGTTGCTGGAATAGGGTGCTAGAATGGGACCAAGAACACAGCAGGAGTCTTGCATTTTGGATAGGCTAGAGAATGTCTCTTGTTTTGATACAGAGGAAAAAAAGAAAGGAAAGGTGCAGAAGATAAATAAAAGGTTGGTTTATTGGGACGAAACTGCAATTGTTGCAGTGGGAGGGCCCCTGCCTTTTCCGTGTGAAAGCAGTGAAGGCATCTGCAGAGAATGCCTTCATGGTCATGTAGCAGAAATGATGCTGATGACTTGGTTTATGTCTAGCTGGTCTACAGAGCTGCAGGCAAGAAGCAGAAGTCAATCTTTACTTCAGTTCCTGATACTCCTGATCTTTTAAGAGCCAAGCGAGGACAGAAGCTTCAGAGTCAGGTAAGCTGAGAAGTTCACACACCTGCCAGTTGGGCATCACAGGGGCTGTTATGTGTGCCTGGCTTCTCTTGGCCAGTGGCAGACTCACGCACTTGGTTGTCCTGGCTGCAACCTCATGCTCATTAACACTGCACTTGAAGAAGCAGTTCTCTTTGGGGCCGTGATAACTATGGTTGTGTTTTACTCAGGCAAGGGATGCCACATCTTCTTTCCTACATGCCATAAAACTTGTGTATGGAGTCTGTGGACTCAAAGTAATGAAAATGATTGCTTGATCATTCTGTGGGATCTTCCTGTTATCCACAGACAAAGCCGTATTTCATTCATTCAAGCAAAAATGAGGAAAATATGTTGAGGAATCTATGGGAATCCTCTCTCTCTTCTGTTAGCATTCTTTATCACATGGCTTTGATTGGCTCATACTCAGCAGTAGGCATATTAGATAACTGGGGTATGTATATATGTTTTCAAACATGAGACACAGGGAGAAGCAAATTAACAAAAACACGTATAAGAAAAAAACAAGCAAACATCAGGACTGTAAACAGTTACCACCTACCCACTGAATGGTTAGAAATGAAGTGGAATAAATGCTAAATACTAAATGCTTTATCTCCATGACACCTCACTTTCTTCTCTTATTATTCAGTATCTGTATGTTGAACTTGCCACCAAAGAGAGACCCCACCATCACGCTGGAAACCAGACCACAGCCTTGAAGCACGCTAAAGATGTGAAGGACATGGTCAGCGAGGTAAGACGGGAATTCAGCACTGAGGCACCAGGTAAAAGGAAAAATACTTTGTTAAAACCTTCCCCTGCTACCTTCGATCAGAGAGCTCATTACTATAAATGGTGCTCAGCATCATCAAAACACAAAAGAGTGAGCTATTCTCTTAAAGAGTGTAATACATTGTGCCCCTCCACCAGACCTGTGGCTTGGTTGGGAATTGGGAAGACACTTAAGCTTGTCTCTCTCTCTTCTATTTTCATTTCTCAGAAAAAATACAAGATTCAATATGAAAAGATGAAGGACAAGTACACTCCGGTTCCAGATACGCCAATCCTCATCAGAGCCAAGAGGGCTTACTGGAATGCCAGTGATGTATGCATCCCTTCCTTTTTTCTTCTGTTGTGATAGGGGGAGCTGAGGCTGAAGTACCTAAGACAGAACGTATTTCAGCCATATCCATAGTTCTAAGTCATGGCCGAGGAAAAAAAAACACAAATTTTGCCGAGCATGTTGGTGTGTGCCTGTAGTCCCAGCTACTTGGGAGGCTGAGGTGGGAGGATCGCTTGAGCCCAGGAGTTCTGGGCTGTAGTGTGCTATGCCACTCAGCTGTCCACAGTAAGTTAGGCATCAATATAGTGACCATCCGGGAGCGGGGACCACCAGGTTGCCTAAGGAGGGATGAACCGGCCCAGGCTGGAAATGGAGCAGGTCAGAATTCCCATGCTGATCAGTAGTGGGATCGCACCTGTCAGTAGCCACTGCACTCCAGCCTGGGCAACATCTCAAGATTCCATCTCTAAAAAAAATAAAAATAAAAATAAATGACATTTTTTTAAAGAGAAAAATATGGCCCAAATAATACGAGTCAGGCAAAATAGCTGAGAGATACCAGAAGCCTATCCTTCTCAATTCTCTCCTGAGCAAAAAGAGGACACTTTATTGTAATTCTTCAGTAGCATTTTCTGGGGATACTTGACAGTTAATTTATTTATCCATAAAATTATGGTCTTGGAGTCAGCCAGACATGGATTCAAATCCTGATGCTGTTATTTGCCTGCTGCATGATTCTATATCATTTGTCTGATTTTTCCAAGTCACTCTTCTTACATGTGGAATGACCATGAGAATTGTGATAATTAAATGAAACCAAACAAGATAATGTATATGTGTCCAGCATGCTGCTGGGCTCCTAGCTGACACTTAGATGTTTGTTCCCTTTCTTCACTTAATTGTATGTAGATCATCTGAATGATGCATGACACAGTGGTTAAAATTAGGGGGGACAGACGTTCATTTTCCATATCACACAACTGAGGGCAAGACTGCCTTTTAATGGTAATACAATCATCTGTTAATGAAGATGTGAAATAGTGAATCCGAGGTAAATGGCCATTCCTTATGGGTTTTGTGTCCTAGCACCCAACCAGGAATTCACTGTACCCATTACCAGAACCACACCCTTACAGGATTAGATATGCTAGGACTTAAACTGAGCAAAAAATCAAGCCAACTTCATGACCTGTCAACTTAGCAACATAGCTCTAGGATTTCAAGGCATCTTACGGTAATTGCACTAAGCCCTAAGCAGAAAAGAGCAGGTACAGCAAATTTGAACAATATCTCAGTTCCGTAATTTTGTTAGGAATTTTTTATTTGGAGCAGAGAAGAGCCTACTAATTAGAAAAAGGCAATTTTTTAAGCCAGTTAGTGCTTAAAATATAAGCTGGGAAAAAATCATATACTCCCCTCAAAGTCTACCTTCTAGGATATTTTTAGTCTTCTTGTGACATCCTTCATCATGATCACTTCAAGGTTACTGTTGAATATTTATTTGAACCAAGCTGAATTAATATCTTAGAGCAGTGGCCACACATTGAAATTGGCCCTGGGATTCATTATGCCCCTAGGACAGCTCCATCCCTAGGGCTTGATCAGTAGCAAATCTGATAACTCTAATCTTCATAATAGTCTAATGTAACAGGGTAGTATCTGGCGTTTAATTCAGTGTATTAAGCATGGCTAACCCCACAAGTAGATCTAGGCAATCTTATGAGATGATCTATCTAAAAAAACAAAATCACAAAGTCAAAGAAAAGACATCTTTCATTGTGTATTTGTTCATCTATCCCCAAAGAAAAAAACTGTTTGAGGTTGAAAATAAGCTGTCATCTTGTGTAGAGGTAATGACTCTTCTATGATATTCTCAGGTTAGAATCAGAGCTGTTTTCTCTTGAAATATCACAAAAGTAAAGATTATAATGAAATAAAGTTTTAAGACTGCTTAGTGCAGAAGGCATTTAATACTAGGAGTTTGTTTGGGTTTTTTCCCTCTCAAATGAGCTTTTGGTTTATGTTTTACATTTAAATAAACTTTGTAAGTAGTTTAGATTTACAGAAAACTGGCAAAGATAGTAGAGTTCTCACATGCCCCACACCCAGGGAACACCTGTGTTCTCCAGTTGCCAACACCTATATCACCATCAGATTTGTCATGACCAATGAACCAAGACTGATACATTATTATCAGTTAAACTCCATAGTTGCTTTGGATTTCATTAGTTTTCCCTAGTGCTTTTTTTTTTTTTTTTCTCTTCTAGGATCTGAAATAAAAGCTTTTAAATTTTTCCTAAATGTATTCATGGGAAAACCAAAGAGAGAAGACGAGAGTTCAGGCTTAAAAGAGCTCAATTATTTAACTTGATGGTTTTTGTAATTCACGTGCTTTTTCTCTTTCTAGCTACGCTACAAAGAAACCTTTCAAAAGACCAAAGGGAAATACCACACGGTGAAAGATGCCCTGGACATTGTCTATCATCGCAAAGTCACTGATGACATCAGTAAAGTATGTCCCTAAATATTTCTACTTGTGTTGCGCTCTACAACTCACCATATACATATATATTTTTTAGCAACCTCCCTCTTCTAAAATTCTCCAGAGAGAAGTAGGCGTATTTACATTAACTTTGGGTGAGACTTATAGCTGTCTTTGTTTTGTATAACAGATAAAATACAAGGAGAACTACATGAGCCAGTTGGGTATCTGGAGGTCCATTCCTGATCGTCCGGAGCATTTCCACCACCGAGCAGTCACTGATGCAGTCAGTGATGTGAGTGTTGACATTTTCTATTTTCACATACAAATTCATCTTCCGGCCAGGTGCGGTGGCTCACGCCTGTAATCCTAGCACTTTGGGAGGCCGAGGCAGGCGGATCACAAGGTCAAGAGATCGAGACCATCCTGGCCAACACTGTGAAACCCCATCTCTACTAAAAAATACAAAAATTAGCTAGGCATGGTGGCGTGCGCCTGTAGTCCCAGTTACTCGGGAGGCTGAGGCAGGAGAATTGCTTGAACCTGGGAGGCAGAAGTTGCAATGAGCCAGGATCGCGCCACTGCATTCCAGCCTGGCGCCTGGTGACAGAGCGAGACTCTGTCTCCAAAAAAAATTAAAAATTAATTAATTAATTAATCTTCCTATATAAGCTCTGAAATCATACACTGCATAACAACTGAAGAAACACTTGGCTAGATTTTAGATTTTGTGTGTGAATGTTTAAATCATAACAATTGCTAAGTGAGTGAATTTCAACTTGGGAGAAGGAAATATATATTCAAATTTATAAACCTAATTCTTCTCCTAGATGTATGATATCATATTACAGGATTGAAAGTGATACACATCATCTAGGAAATAGCCTATTTTTGATCCACTGAAGTGACAACTTCATGAAGCAATTAAGACACATAACAATGCTCACTTAGAAAGTTCAGCTCTGTGTATGAAAATATAGCTGCCAAGCTAATGATATACTCTCTAGGAAAGTATGCCTGTTAGATTTGAATTGCTTTAATTAGTATCAAAAATGGTAAACTTCCATATGTTATAAAACAATATACCATAAAATGAGCAGAGGTCAGTATTACTGGAAACTTCTTTTAAATCATTGTTTTAATACTTTATTATTTCAGATGCTTCATATGGGGCAGGGCTTCTGTTTTTTCCACTTGTATAGATACTAACTTGCTGCTGTTCAGAGGTGGCTTCTTAGAACTCTTTGATGATATTCTTCTTCTCCCAGGTAAAATATAAAGAAGACTTGACTTGGCTTAAAGGCATTGGTTGCTATGCCTATGATACCCCTGATTTCACTCTGGCTGAAAAGAACAAGACTCTATACAGCAAGGTATATATACTCAAGGAGAATTGGCTACATCCATTTGACATATACCTGAACCCACAGAGAGAATTAGCACTGAGGAAATAGTCTTTCTTGTTTCCATCCCTATCCTGGCTTCTAGACCTTATAGTTTGAGTACATATTGAGTTGTTCATCCTTAGAAAACTCTTGGATGTTAACCTCATTGACCAAAGGCATTTATTTGAATTTGATGAAAAGTCATCTCAGGACAACCCCTCACGATCCTTCTAGAACTCTCTCCTTATTAATATGTCTCTGGGTGGTTTCTCCTATTAAAGCTAATATGATAGCCAATATAAAATGGGGTTATTTTAATCGACAAATAATATATGACATGAGGCAGACCACCTAGTTTTTAATGGCCTCATTTTCCTATTTACAAAATAAAGCAATTCAGTTCACTTTCCTTTGAGCTCTACAATAGAATCCAGCAAAATTTTTTTTTAAATGCCAAATAGTAAATAAAACATAGAAGATGTTGGCTAAATTCATTCTAGGGAATATTCTTCTTTGTTTGTTACAACACCACGGAATGGTGAAACCCATTCTAATTCATGAAGCTGTTTAAAACAGGTGGCATGCTAGATGGGTCATACTCCATACCTGCTCTAGAAGATTATGATTATCTGATTAAGTACTGAAAAGCTATCTTCAAATTAATGTACTAAAACCTCCTTCAAGTGTACATAAAATATTTTCAAATTTAAATAATAATTATATAGAAACAAACTAAACATTGATTTAGATTTTTGCCCAATATGGAAAATAAACCTATTTGGCATCCATTCAGTGTAAGTGTTTTCTAGTGTATACTTTTGGGCTAGTTTTCAAGACATCTAGGCAGTTCTGCCCTTCGTTGCCTTGGAAGCAGAGTAGTTAGTTTGGCTGGGTTCTGTGGCTCATGCCTGTAATCCCAGCGCTTTGGGAGCCCAAGGCAGGTGAACGGCTTGAGCCCAGGAGTTTGAGAACAGCCTGGGCAACATGGCAAAACCTCACCTTTACAAAATATACATAAATTAGCCAGGCATGGTGGTGTACCACCTGTAGTCCCGCCTACTTGGGAGGCTAAGGTAAGAAGACTGAGCCCAGGAGGCGGAGGTTGCAATGAACTATGATTGTGCCCTGCACTCCAACCTGGACAACAGAGCAAAATCCTGTCTCAAGACAAACGTGTTAGCTCTATGAATTACCACAGTTATATGATATGATAAACAGCATGTCTTATTCTTAAGATAATCACAGCCTGCTATCAAGTAACCAGGTTCCATTTTTTCTAGTATAAGTACAAAGAAGTATTTGAAAGGACAAAGTCAGATTTCAAGTATGTTGCAGACTGTCCGATCAACAGGCATTTCAAGTATGCAACTCAACTGATGAATGAGGTATGAATGAACTGCTCCAATTAAGTCTATTCATTTCCTTAAGAAGTCTTTGAGGTTTTTTAATTAAAGCTCAATACATAGAATGACAGGAAAGCCATCCTAAGTTTTCAGTTTAACTAAAGATTTGGAAAAGATTCTATGATGTTACCATCCAACAAGCTCTGCCAAACTACAAATAAGAACACGTGAAGAGACCGTTCAGTGGTGGGAGAGCCCTGCAAACATCAGCACCTCTGCACAAACGCAGGGCAGTGCAGCCCTGCAGGTGACAGTACCAGGGAAGTAAAGGATTTTCTTGACTGTCAGTGGAACTCCCTTATATAGAATATTGTATAGACTTGGGAGACGCAGAAGTTCAAGGTTAATTTACTATCCTCTACTGAGGCACCAAGATGTCAGTGGTTAGAAGAGCCACCCTAAAGGGATAGTTGTGATTCATGCTTCAAATTTATTGCCGTGGTTACTCCCACATATACTGGTACACAGAAGTATCCACTTGCATCTAAATTTTTTCTATTTTATCTAGCCTTTCCTTTAAATTATCCTTGCAATAATTTTAAATTATCTTTGCAATAATTTAAATTTAGCTCAAGATGGCTGAAATAAGCAAGCTATGAATGTACTTAGTTTGGATGGTTTTACAACGTTGGGATGGTTTTATAGTTAAAATTGTATTTAATTTCCTATTTTCAGAGTTTTCACAGGTTTATATAAGTTCAAAAATTATGTTAGAAAATTAGTAAAATGTATCTAAAAATGAAAATGTAGGCAATGGCATATTTGCTTAAATGTATGACTTTTTTGTTTGTTGTCTTTACATTTGATTTAGTTCACTTTCAGTAGATTTCCAGACTGGACCACCCTGAAGAATTACTGTCAGTAGCTTCATATGAGTATAATCTTGATATATTTTGTTTCTTTTTTTCTATTTCATGAAGAATTTCCAGGTCTCTTTTATAATCCAATAAGTTAACTAGCATTAGAAGACTATTACAAATTTCCCATGGATATTTTGGCATCAGTTATACTTTCAGATTCTCACAGCCTTAGATAGTAAACCTGCAGCTTATCAGTACCCTATTTTAAATACACCATTAGATGCCATAAACCTAACATTGCTAATGGCATCATAAAGATGGAAAATGTTTAGACACAAGAAACGCCAATTTCAGTGTCATAAATCTGACCTATCCCATACTCCAGCCTTCTCCAGGTGATCTTCCTCTACTTGACTCTCTTTGCTTCCCTGTTTTTATTGTCTTGGGTATGTTGGGAGCCTGCCTCTAGAGATGACATGTTCTGGCTCTCTGGAGTGTTTACTTTGAGACATTTCTGTGTAGCCTTGAAGTTGTGCTCTTGCTATAATATGCTATGATGTTTGAGCAGAAAAAATACAGAGCTGATTATGAGCAGCGGAAAGATAAATACCACCTGGTAGTCGATGAGCCTAGACATCTGCTGGCTAAGACCGCAGGCGACCAGATCAGTCAGGTACTGTGATGGGGCTGGCCGGTGGCCCAGGCAGGACTGTGCTCCCGGTTCCTCATGATGTCGTCCCGTCTGCTGCAAGGATGTCATAGGTTCTGCCTATGATATTGGGCCGTTCTGTTTCAAAATATCTGTCTAGCCACCCAAAGAGCCTGTCAGCTATTTGAGTGCGCCAGTCCATGCTCTGTGTTCTCACTTGTGCTGCGGTGAAGATGAAAAGCTGGGTCCTCCCATCCTTTACTCTTCCAGAGAACCTGTTTGAAAACTGCAATTGTAAACTGTAGATTGAGTTGTAAAAGCAAAAAATAAACAAATGAACAAAAAACAAACAAAAGTTAATAGAAGGAAAGAAGATGGAACTCCTTACTATATATCTTTCTATTCCAAAGATGTCTCCTTTCCTATACAACTATTTTGGTGGTAACATAAGTGAAACTAGCTATATCATTCCCCATTCACAAGGGCTATGAATGGCCAACCACAAGCATTGCAATCATTCTGCCTCACATTATGATGTATTTGATGTCTTCACCCACACATATGTGAGTACATAAAGTGTGTATGCCTACATCTCTTCACTCAGAGGTGACTGGGATATAGAGCCATGTTCTTTTCTGTCTTCATGAGTCTCTTTTGTGCTTCACTGCTCTTTGCATGGACAGAGAAAATATAAATCTAGTGCCAAGATGTTTCTGCAACATGGATGTAATGAAATTCTACGTCCAGATATGTTGACTGCTCTCTACAATTCACACATGTGGAGCCAGGTAATGTCTGATGGGATATGAAGAAGGAGGCTTAGACGTCTTGGGTGCATTCCCTTGTATGCTTTCATTGATTTCCTCTCCTACTCCCTGCCCATGCTGGCCTCACATGGTAAAGCTACATAAATATTCATTCCTTGTAAATGTAAATGACCTCTGAATGTGGCCAAAGGTGATGGGACAGCGGTCATCTGTACATCATCTGATGCTTTCAGAACTCTTAATAAAATCAACTGACTCTTTCAAGCGTTATTTCCAAATTGGTTTAACTTTAATTTAAACTTTTTGGTATTTGCCTCAAAGAAATAGATTCCTTAGAGATTGGAGATAGTACGTAGATTCAACAGAATGTAAAAGGTCTGAATATTTAATGTTTTCATCGAATGTGTCCCTTGTTCAATTATCACTACAACTGTTGCAGGGACATGAGGACTGCTATGCAGCTCTATGAATATTGTATATATTCATGGTGCCTGTTGACTTTGATGCTGAATTGCTAGGTTATGTCCAGCACATCTGATCCCACACACACTCGTTAACAGTGTCTCTGATAATCATGCCTTTTTAGAAGGCCAGCTGAAGCATGCACTTTCCAGCACATGCTCAAAGGTAAATTTGACTCAGCAATAAACAGTGATAATTGGTTAACTACCAGACACAATGTTAGTAAAACGCCATTTTCCCAGACCAAAAAAAAAAAAAGTTATTAATCAAGCTTTTCTATTAGCAACTTGTTTTGTCATTTTAGTTTACCGTCAAATCAGTATGTGAAATGAGGAGGTTAAGCTCTCCCTGTAAACATCCTGAACTTCCTGTTTGCCTGAACGTCCTCCTTTGTCTTTATATGACCATCAAATAGTTGTGCATGAAATTTTATGGTGCTGTCTGTATCTGTCCTGCTTAAAACAGCTTCTGTGCATGAAAATGACTGACTTGAAAATTGCAAACACAAATGAATTTTTTTAAATGATAAATACTTTATATGTTCATTCCTTATTTTACATCCCTGTTTGATTTTTGATGTGGCAAAACACTTTTGGAGATTGTACATGTTCAATACAATATGTTGGGAGTGAAACAACACTTGTCAGACTCCAGAGAACAGGTTCTAGTCCTGCTCTGAGATTCAGTCTAACTGTGCTCTTGGGACAGTCTTGTAACCTCTGGGGTTCTCCGAATCCATGTGTATAAAACATATTGGAAATTATTCGTAGTAGTATTATCTGCTCCATTACATTTCTGCTATAAGGCACAAATTTATATTAAACATTTCCAGTTAGGATTCAAAGACAAAGCTACCATGACCCCACCTCCCACTCTAGTGTTTTTCAAGAGGACAGTTAGATACCTTAAAGCCCTCTCTACAGCTTCTTAGAGCTAACTCTTTCTTCTCTTCCACAATTTAGATCAAATATAGGAAAAACTATGAAAAATCAAAGGACAAATTTACCTCAGTTGTGGACACTCCAGAACACCTGCGTACTACAAAAGTCAACAAACAAATCAGCGATGTAAGTGCAAAAAACACCGTATACCTTTTCAAACTCAGGGGACATCTGCAAACATGGAGGGGCATTTTAAGTTGTCACAAAGTCTGGGAGACTATTGTCATTGGAGACTACTGTCATTTAGTGGGAGGGATGCAGGGGTGCGAGATGTCCTGCTATGCACAGGAGTCTCCTTCCCAATAAAGAATTGTTGTGGACGGGTGCGGTGGTTCACCCCTGTAATCCCAGCACTTTGGGAATCCAAGGCAGGCAGATCACTTGACACCAGGAGTTCGAGACCAGCCTCCTGGCAAAATATGGCAAAATCCCATCTCTACTAAAAATGCAAAAATTAGCCTGATGTGGTGGTACACGCCTGTGGTTCCAGCTACTCAGGAGGTTGAGGCATGAGAATTGCTTGAGCCTGGGAGATGGAGGTTGCAGTGAGCCAAGATCACACCACTGCACTTCAGCCTGGGTGGCAGAGTGTCTCAAAAAAAAGAATTGTTGTGACCACATGCAAGCTGGAAACACTGAGGTCTTAGCAGAGAGCATCAAAGCACCTGTCAAATTCACAGAATTATTTTTCCTTTTTTCCACTCAGAAAAACACTTTGCATTTATATTTTGATATTATTCATTGAGAAGCATGACATGATGTCTTTCTGCTTTTTAATCTCTTTCAGATTCTTTATAAATTGGAATACAACAAGGCCAAACCCAGAGGCTACACCACAATCCACGACACACCCATGTTGCTGCATGTCCGCAAGGTTAAAGATGAAGTCAGTGATGTAAGTACCACAATAGCTTAGCAGTCCCGCTCATCTTCACCTCTTTCTCATGTGATATAACAAACCCTGGTCCACTTATCTATTCCTGTGTAACAACCACCCTAAAACTTAGTGACTTAAAGTAACAGTCATCTCTTTTGCTCATAATTCCGTGAGTTGACTGGACACAGCTGAGTAGCCCTACTCCCCATGTTGCTGGCAGACACCTGGGGCTCAGTCAAGTCAGGACATCCAGATGGCTCACCCCCATGGCTGGCCATTGGTGATGGCTGTGGGCTGGGAGCTGGGCTATTGTATAGATGAGACAGGAACCCCTTCATGTGGCCTCTTCACATGCCTTGGACTTCTCCCCAGATGGCTCTCCACATGGCTTAAACGTTTCCTGAGGTACTAATTTTTTAAAAATGAATTTCCATGACTGTCTCCTAAATATAGTGATGAGTAAATTAGTAAACTAAGTCTATGGTGAAGCCCAGAAAACTGTGATTCCTATGATCAGTTTAGTAAACCCCACGATGGCCTCCTTGGAACAGTTTACTTTGGCCTTAGTCACATTAAAACCTAGGATCCTTCCCCAATGATTAATGAGAAAGCCCAGAGCAACACCTTCAACCCTGAAATGTAAGAAGAGCAAAAGTGAGTGAAGCTGGAATCCCCAGGCTCAGGATGGAAAAACCACCTGTTGGGCCTGCAGAGGCTAAGCCTTCCCTGTGCCTCTCCCTCCTATCCAAACCCACACATACCAAAACTTGCTAGGTATGTCTCTAGCAATGACAATGACAATATATGGTTCCATATATTTTTAAAAGGCAGAATGCTGGCTGTATCCATCAGTTCATTCATTCACCAAGTATTTATTGAGTGTCTATGTGCCTGACACTAGGAATAAGATGATGGATGACATAGTCTCTGCCCTTAAGGGGTTCTTTTTAATGGAAAGAATAGGCAGATAAACAAATAATCACAACATGACATGATAACGGCTAGAACTGTGGGAGCATAGAAGGAGAGCAAGACTCATTCCATCTGGGTGAGTTGGTGGAGGAAGGCTTCTCTTCTATCAGCAGTTATCAAGATGTTCTGAACTCAGGATTTGCTGATTTGGGGAAGGGAAAACCTTAATGAATAGCTGTCCAACTCCTCCCTTCAGCACAAACACAGAAGCATAAATTATATGGCAGGCCAGGCACAGTGGCTCATGCCTGTAATCCCAGCACTTTGGGAGTTCGAGGTGGGCAGTTCACGTGAGGTCAGGAGTTTGAGACCAGCCTGCCCTACATGGCGAAACCCCACCTCTACTAAAATACAAAAAAAAGAAAAAAAAATTAGCCACACATGGTGGCACATGCCTATAGTCCCAAGATATTTGGAAGGCTGAGGCAGGAGAATTGCTTGAACCTGGGAGAGGCAGAGGTTGCAGTGAGCCAAGATTACACCATTGCACTCCAGTGTGGGTGACAGGGAGAGACTCTGTTTAAAAAAAAAAAAAAAAAAAAAAATTGGCTGGGCGCAGATTACAGTGGCTCACGCCTGTAATCCCAACACTTTGGGAGGCTGAGGTGGGTGGATCATGAGGTCAGGAGTTTGTGACCAGCTTGGCCAATATGGTGAAACCCTGTCTCTACTAACATACAAAAATTAGCCGGGTGTGGTGGCACACGCCTGTAGTCCCAGCTACTCGGGAGGCTGAGGAAGAAGAATCATTTGAACCCGGGAGGCAGAGCGTGCAGTGAGCCAAGATTGTGCCACTGCACTCCAGCCTGACGGCAGACAGCCTCGTCTCAAAAACAAAAACAAAAACAAAAAAACATGATATGGCAACACTAGTGACCATAGCCAGTGTGCCCTGATCTGAGATAGGAAGGTGCATTTCTGCATGGCTATATCCTTGCTCCACAGCAAATTTTTAAAATTCTGTCTTAAGGAGCATTGTATACTGTAGTCATGCATGGATTTAATTTCTTGTTTTGTAAGATGCTCAGTATGCTGCTATAAAAAAAAATTAATCTTGTCACTGGCTTTCCTCCCACAGCTGAAATACAAGGAAGTATACCAAAGAAATAAATCCAACTGCACCATTGAGCCAGATGCTGTTCATATCAAAGCAGCCAAGGACGCCTACAAAGTCAACACCAACGTAAGTTCCAGAAACTTCCCCAGGCATGGTGGGGGATTTACCGGCTTCTGAAGGACACATGGCCTCTTTTTACGTCTCTTCAGGCAACTGAGCTCTAGTGATTGATTCCAAAGCAAGAGTCAGGCCCCAGGAGCATGAACAATGATGCTAAAATATAAATCCTGCCTTGGTCCTCACAAAGGAGCATGGGGGAGAGCAAGGGTGGCCTCATCCCATGCCATGGATGCTACACTCACTCAGTCCTTATGGTGGGTGGCTGAGAAATGGGACATTGAATTCTGAAATGTAGGTTGCATTTTTGGAATGTGCCTGAGCATTTTTCATTCTCTTCCCCTGTGCTCTCCTGTCTCAAGCTACAATCTGCTTCATCTGACGAAGAAAATGTTGAGCCATTTGGTGCCATCAGGCATTGGCCTAGACCTTCTTCCTGCTCAGATATTCCCTGAATTGACTCTTTTCCCGGGTGTGGCATCTTAAGGCCTCAACTACAGAAATAATTTTGTGCATTTAGATGAGCACCAGCTTCTTAAAAATACATTAAATGGTTATACACTGAAACCATTATAACCCAATTAGTACTCACTAGTGCCAGAGGGGAACATATGTTTTTGAGGGCTGGCAAACTGGAATGCCTGTAGGAGCTGGCAAGGAGCTTGCAGGTATCCTGAGGATGGATTGAGGGTACAGTGATAGCATAGACGTGAGATAAAGCAAATGCAGTAAAATGTACCTTGCAAAATCCAGATTGTATGGGTATTTTCCGTAATATTCTTGCAACTTTTTTGTATATTTGAAATTTTTCACAATAAAAAAAGGGAAAACAACTTTATAAAATAGTATACATAAAAGCATGTGCATTATATTGTGTATAAATTGTACCTCAATTTAAAAAAGAGAAAGGATGAGGAAAAAAATGTGCTCGATAGTGTAGGGCCCTCCAAAGGACACTCAAATTAAATTACATACATGTCTGTGGCTCAGATTTGGCCCAAGGCAGCCAGTTCTCCAGCCCTGAAGAGTCTAGGAAGCAGGCAAGCACCTCTGAGGCCAGACTGCCTGGGTTTAAATTCCAGCTCCACCAATTGCTAATAGTCTCACCTTGAGAAGTTTACTTAACCATTCTATCCAGTTCTTCAGCTGTCTATTTCATGCAATTGTTAGGAAGATTAGGTGAATTAATTTTATAAAATTTTGTAATTCATTTAATTAATTTTGTAATTTGTAAAAAACTTAGAAAAGTGCCTGGCACAAAATAAATATCTAGTGTTTGATCATTTTTGTTAAAAATTAAATCTGAATTTAGTTAGAAATTAAAAGTAATCGATTCTGAAGATGATTAGGCTGAACTGGCAGAGCTAGAGAGACTGTAGAATCATTTCACCTGGAGGCCTTTAAAATTTTTAGCCTCTATTTTTGGACCACAAGGTCCCAACAGATGACCTCTGAGTGGATGATTAGCTGCATAAATTGTACAGAAATTTTAATTAGGGCTCCCTCTTGCATTAGGAATCATGATTTGAGATATTTTAAAATGCAGGAGCCCCTCTGTGCCATGTGTGTATTTATGAATTTAGCCTAATGAATCAAGTGATTTCTTTCTCTCCTGTTAAAAACAGCTGGACTATAAGAAACAGTATGAAGCCAACAAAGCCCACTGGAGGTGGACCCCTGACCGACCAGACTTCCTCCAGGCTGCCAAGTCATCCCTGCAGCAAAGTGATGTAAGACAGGAGAGACATAGATGATCGTAACTACATGCTGCACCCGAGAAATACAATGAATAATAATTTATAATAACCACTGTCATGGGTGTTAACCCTTGCTCATTTGAGATCCAAGGAGAGGAGGATGGTTGGGGGAGCAGTAGGCAAGCTCAGTACCCAAACGTGGCCATAGACCCTATTCTCCTATGGCTGGGCCTGGACACAAACGGCTCCGAGTTCTGACTGGGGCTGGGGGGGAATCTGGGGGAAGACTGGGGATGGAGGGGCTTGGTCCTGGCAGCTGGGCTGGAAAGGAGGAACCTAAAATGCAGTGAGGGACCAAGAAGCCCTTCCCCTCATTCTGGTAACAAGTCTTTGTCCTCTCCTTAAAAGGACTCCCTGTGGGTTTAATCAAACGCCCAGATTCCTCCTGTGCTGTGACCCTTCCCTTTCCTTCTGTCTTTCTTCTCTAACAGTTTGAATATAAGCTGGACCGGGAGTTCCTCAAGGGTTGCAAGCTTTCTGTCACTGATGACAAAAACACAGTGCTGGCCCTCAGGAATACTTTAATAGAAAGTGATGTGAGTATCTAGTTCCTTCCATGATGCCGAATCTCACTCAGCGCCGTGTTCTATGGTACAGTCCCCAGGGACACCCAGGGAAGAATGGAGAAGAGCTGCTTCCATCAGGGCTCAGGTATGGGTCCTGATATATGGCCTATCCTGCGATTTACACCAGCGGTCAAGCAGGGCAGCAGCAGTGCAAGAGCCATTAAATCCAGGTGACAGTCCTCGGTTTATACTGCACCACCAGAGAGTTCACACAGCAGGAATTAGGACCCTGAAGGCCTGGCTGGATTCTTTATGGAAACTCCATGATTTGTTTTCTATGGGATCATACTTTCCGTTCGCTACAGTTTCCTTATCTGTAAAAAAGGAATAATGATGCTTCCCAGGGCCTATGGGAGGGTTAAAGGGTGTATCTGAGAATGCTGTGAACATAAGTCTGACTGTATAAAGATTCATCATGAGATCTACTTTGTTATTAAAACTGCAACTTGCTAGAGATAAGGAAAAAACCCTCTTGAATATTTCCCAGGATTTGCCAGCATCAAATCTTTTATTGAGTTTAGTATTATTTGTCAATGATGCTGTTCTAGTGGTTTGGGGGTATAATAAAAATATGTAGGATACCCAGAGAAGCTAAAGAAATGCCCTTTTTCCTGCTCCTGCAGCTGAAATACAAAGAAAAACATGTCAAGGAAAGAGGAACTTGCCACGCTGTACCTGACACGCCTCAAATCCTGCTGGCGAAGACTGTCAGCAACCTGGTGTCCGAGGTAACCCCCCAGCCGCCTATGAGCTCTGCTTCCCTCTTGGAAGAACTCCCTAGGCAGATGCCTTAACAAGCTCTCTGTGGATTCCCCCAGAACAAGTACAAGGACCATGTCAAGAAGCACTTGGCCCAGGGGTCATACACAACACTACCAGAGACCCGGGACACTGTTCACGTCAAGGAAGTGACCAAGCATGTCAGTGATGTAAGTGATCAACTGCAGGTCTCTTGGCAGCAACAATGCCACCTGACCATAGAATCGGGTGAAATATTGTCAGCTGCCTTTTGCTTCCTTTATGTAGCTTCACTCTTACCATCAATATCTACATGTGAATCTTAAACTCTGATTTTTAAAATGACCCAGGATTCCTTGGCTTTCAATTTCTGGCAATTACGGCAAATGCAGGTTTTGCTACAGGACTTGTAATCTAGCCATATCAGATGTTACTAACCTATTAATAACAAGAGGAAACATTGCTGATTAGGAGTGGCCTCTCCTATTATTAAACTGCTACCCAATTCTAGAAAGGTAAAACCACCTCTTTGGGCCTCAGTAATCTCTGCCCACTCTATCCTTATTAATAATGCTGTAGTAACCTTGGTATTACATGAGTCCCATATGGTCCCATATATTTTTAAAAGGTAGAAATGGTAAATAAAGGAGCTTAATTTGCCTGTACCCAGTTCTCCAAAGATTGCAGGCGGTTCTAGTGTTGGGCTGCAGGACACAAATGACAGAAAACAAATAGAATATGGGTCAGAGATCTAAGTCCCAGACTGACGCCAAAAAAAGGAGCATGGATTTTCCTGGAGATTTCACAGTTCTTCAAGTAAACCAACTCTGTTCCCAGCTTCCTCTGCTCATAGAAGTAATTCTGGCTTTGTTTAGACAAATTACAAAAAGAAGTTTGTCAAGGAGAAAGGAAAATCCAACTACTCCATCATGCTGGAGCCACCAGAGGTGAAACATGCTATGGAAGTGGCCAAGAAGCAAAGTAATGTAAGTTTCCCTCTAGGCATTCTCAGGGGCCCACTTGAAGCAGTGGATCCCAAATTGGTGTGTTCTCTTGTTCCAGTGTATGGTCACCCTAATTCCTCCAGGTGGTAGTTTCAGAAAGTTAGTGGTGAGAAGTGGGTTGGGTTTAAAGAAAAAAGCTGATTGCACTTAATGGGGACTTTTAGAAAGATAGTGTATCTCTTGAGTAAACATTTTCTTCCCCAATAAAGGTTGCTTACAGAAAAGATGCCAAAGAGAACCTGCATTACACCACAGTGGCCGATCGACCAGACATCAAGAAGGCCACACAGGCAGCCAAACAAGCCAGTGAGGTAAGGGTGTCATTAAAATGTCCCCAGTCCCCAATGGCCACTGCCAAGGCATGCCGGGCACCCATCACCTATTGCCCATTTTGGTTTTCTCTGACTCAGGTGGAGTACAGAGCCAAGCACCGCAAGGAAGGCAGCCATGGCTTAAGCATGCTCGGTCGCCCAGACATAGAAATGGCCAAGAAGGCAGCCAAGCTGAGTAGCCAGGTAATGTAGATGGGTGCACTGGTGACTCTCATGTGAGATTATACAGACCTTGCAGGAAGAAGTGATTTCCAGATTGAAAATGCAAAGCTTCCGAGAGTTATAAAAAGTGCACTGAGGACCTTTTCTCGTTTCCCTCTAAGCTGTCTAGACCTTTCTTGTTCTCCACTCTTCTATTTATGGGCATTTGTCTGGGTGTTTGTGTGCTTAACTATCTTTATGTGACAAAAACATCAGCTTATGAGATCCTACTGGAACTTCTCCCCAGGCCTTAAGAGTTGCATCAGAGGTTGTGGTGAGCCAAGATCGTGCCATTGCACTCCAGTCTGGGGCAACAACAGCAAAACTCCGTCTCAAAAAAAAAAAAGAGTTGCATCCTTGCGGTCTGATTCATACTTGAGTCACCTGGGGCAGATTTAACATGAAGAGTCATGAAATTCTAACTTCTAGAATCCAACCAGATAAAAGTATTCATATGTTTTCATTACACATACATATATTAATAGCCTGGGCTAGGAAGTAGGGATGAGCCGATGTCTTCAGACTACTTGTTCATGGATAAATAATGTACAATTTGGTCTGGCAAGTGTTTGATCAATGTATACACCAAGTGCTAATGGAGAATGCCATATTCTTGCAGATCTTATATTATTGAGAAGCAAATGGACTCAGATATGTGTTGTCCAAACCCAGTTACCGCATGAATTATTTTCCCTTGTAAATTCCCCAAGTTATGACAGGTTTTTAGACGTTAGCTCAGAGAACCCATCATCTACCACCAAATCTGTAGAGTACAAGTTTGATCCTATAGGACTTTAGCTTAAGAATATCTTATATATTCTCCAGTTTACAGATCCTACCTTCTTTTTCCTTGTCTGTTCTCTCAGATATTTGTTTGAAGAAATAGGTTTGGGATATAAATTTGTCATTGTGAGTGACTGACTTCAGCAATACCAAACATGAAATTCCAATCTTTTGGAAGATATAATGCAGTAATCTCAAGTGACAGAACAAGTTAGAATTATGAAAACACAAACGGTTTAGATGACTGATGAAAAGCAAATACTATTTTTTAAAAGTTTTTAAACTTAAAATTCATATGTAACATATTTTATTATAAATTAATGGAATTGTGTAAGTATTTGAAACCAAGATAGATCACCACCAACAAAAAAACAAACAACGGAATCTCTAAGAGTAATGAGATGTAATAAGGACTTATTAATGCAAAAAGTTAAATATGTTTTTAAATATACGTCATATCATTATAATTTAAAAGCAAAGAAACAACTATGATATTGAAATTTTGAAAACTTTTGTGATTTGAAAATGAAGAGGCTCCTATTTCTAATCCTAAGTGAACCCTATGGGATAGAGAATGGGACCCCACAAGATCCTTTTGAGCTCAGCTTCCTGGGCTCACTTCCTGTGAAAGGCTGGTCTCCGGATTGACAGCTTCATAGTATGGCCCCTGGCCCAAGGGAGCTTCAGCTGTGTGTGGGCTTTCCCTGTTCTGACTTTGCTGTCTTGCTGCGTACTCTAGGCGGAATACCTGAAAGGCCAAAGGAGAGGGCACGGCGCTGCATCTTATGACACCCCTATGATGAGGCATCTTAAGAAAATTAATATACTCATCAGTGATGTAAGACTGAGACCAGCAAGCCCTTATCTCTTTCTCTGATTCTTATCTACTTTCTTGGCATTGGTCAGGGGACTGACCAGGCTGTACTCTTTTCTGTTGATTTTGTGTTGGAACGTGTAGATTGCTGTGGACATTTGTCAAAGGATATACTTTTGCACACATCCCTCTTTTCCTGCATGAAACTTTCCATCTGGAACATACCACTTGGAATAGGAAGGTAGACTAGACATGGTGATGGCCTCCCAAAGTATATTAGTTTGCTGACACTGATCAAATTAAATGATGATGAAATGCAAACAAACTAAGAATCTCATCTTCAACCAAAGAAACCTCTGCTTCTTCTGAAGTTATCTGCCATTATTGATTTTTAATACACTGAAGATTGGCATTTAATAGTTTCTCAGTTCAGGCCTACTATGAATCAACAGAATAAACTTTTAATAGCTTTTCTAATACTTGGGACTGTTCTTCAGTCTTTAGAAGCACCAGTATAAATCTCAGTTCACTAAGAAGGAGCTGAACAATTAGATCTTTAAATAAACTCCTAAAAATATAATTAATTCAAAATCACCTTCCTATACTACATCCATAATAGGCCCAATATCTGAGCTTGATGGGATTATAAGCCCTGGGGGCTGTCACTTGCTGATACATGGCATTGCAGAGTTGCCTCTTGGCTTCCATGGTTAACGGGAAAAAGCTTCACCATTCCTTAATGCCAGTATATGTAGTTTTACTACATTACTGGCTAGTCAAATACTGTTCCAAGAATTTCTGGAGTTCTGAATCTGGTACGTGTCCTTACCTTTCAAATTATACTAGTTTTAAGAAGATCCAGTCAAAAAGGAAGGCCAAAAGTGCTGAACTCAGATTCATATTAATAGTTGTACTAAGCTGCATTTGTCTAGAGGACTTCCTATGGAGAAGGAAGCCATAACCTTTTTTCAGTTAAAAAGTTGAAATTAACTTGAAATTATCAGAAGAAAAAGAAACTGAAGTAGAACCAATGGGATTGCTGCTTTAAAAATATTTTTTCAGAAACAAGTATCTTCTAAATATAGGAGGAGTTGTTTTAGCATACTTCTAAAAGAAGCAGATTTTATTCTCATTTGAGATGGGCTTTTGCATCTTTTCTTCCCTATTTTGACTCTGCATATCTGGTTTACTTTGTTTTTCTGTGTTTCACGGCTCTTGGAAACATTCTTAGTTTTATGGACTTCTGTATCTCTTAGGAAAAGTTGCCTTTGGTCCAAACACCAGCTCATACCTCACACTTTCCTTCGCAGACCTTCCACTTCATGTTGAGAGAGAAACTTTTTCAGAGAAGAGCCATTGTAGCATTTGTTTAGATTACATTTTCTTTACTTCTTTGTGTCTGTCTCAGTGTGCCTGCATCATGCCAAACTGTTCTGCATGCTTATTTTTTCTCTGCATTTCCACTGAGGATTTTATTCAAAGTAAAGGAGTCTCAGCATTGTGAATGCATTTTCTCTGACGTGGCAAATTTCATTGCTTTTAGCATTTGAGTGGTCTCATTTTGTGTCTGTTGTGCTGGATGTGTCACGTTGGGGGAGGTGAAGAGCAGTGACAATGCATGAGGGGTACTGTAGTGAGTCTTTCATCTTCAAAATAACAGAAACTCTAGAATTCCTGGAGGGTAAAGTATTGCCCTTTTAGTTGGCTAACATCTAGAAACAGCTCAGTTTTCATTCTTCCTAGAGTGAATAACTAGTGGAATTCTACTTCTGGCCTTAATTCTACAATACTGTTGACAATGGGATCAGTTTGTTTTTCATTTAGGGGGTGTTTCTGTCACTTTCCATTATTCTGTTGAATTCTAGAAATAAATTTTATTTATTTATTTATTTACTTATTGAGACAGGGTTTGCTCTGTCGCCCAGGCAGAATGCAGTTGTGCAGTCCTGACTCATTTCAGCCTCTACTTCCTGGGCTCAAGTAATCCTCCTGCCTCAGCCTCCTGAGTAGCTGGGACTACAGGGGTGCACCACAATGCCCAGCTAATTTTTGTATTTTTAGTGGAGATGGGGTTTTGACATGTTGCCCAGGCTAGTCTCAAACTCCTGGGCTCAAACAATCTGCCTGCCTTGGCCTCCTAAAGTGCTGAGATTACAGGTGTAAGCTACTGCACCCAGCTATCATCTGCTTTACATATTTTACTTTGGCATAATGACCGTCTCTTCCTTTCATTCAATCAAATCATATTTATTGAGCAACTGTTTATGCAAGGCATTGTGCTTATTTTTTAAATTGGAGTTATTTAGCCCTTTGCATATCTAAACTTATTTTTATGTATACTAAAAGTATATTCAATCTTATTTTTCCTCATTATTCTAAAATATCTCACTTTTTGCCTACTTTTAGTGTGAAATCACACTTGAAGCCATTAACCCCAAACTCTAATTTTGTTTACTCAGAAATTTTACCATTTTGGGCCAAGTTTGAAAATTTTAAATAATATATCCAAAGTACTATTTTAAAATAACAATAAATTCTCCTAATTTAACAGATTCCTTCCGTCTGAACCTTCTTGATCATTTACAGCCCCTCTTTGGATTTCTTACAGTAGACCTAAAATGCTCTTCGTTTTACTATTTAGGAGGGACAAAATGCTCCAAATCAAGTACATTAAATCACGTCTCTGAATTTAGCCTGAAGCCTTTTCCATTTATTTTTGTTTTGCATTGGAAAGAGGTGATTATTTTTTATACCTCTGAATAGTATAAAAGTGAGCAAGGCCAATGCAAAATATACCACATGATTGCATATTTGAATGCCTGTTGTCTTGTCATTCTTAATAGTGTCTTCTTTACTCTAAATGTCCCAGTTTGGATAATAGATTATATGATTGCTCTACGTACAATGCATATTCTTTGGCATTTGTGTTTCTACCATTCCCCAATTCCCAAATTGACTGATATCCAGGAATAATTTGGGTGTTTTCATTTGCTGTTAGGTTAAATACCGAGAAAATTTTGACAAAGAAAAGGGCAAGACACCAAAATACAATCCAAAGGACAGCCAGCTCTACAAAGTCATGAAAGATGCTAATAATCTTGCAAGTGAGGTATGTTTCTAAAATTGTGGTAAAACATATTTACCATTTTAACTATTTTTAAGTGTGCAATTCAGTAGCATTTATAATATTCACAATGTTATCCAACTACTGTCACTATTTCCAAAATGTTTTTTTACCAACAGAAACTCTATAACCATTAAGCAAAAACTCCCCATTCCCTCCTGTCAGCTCCCAGGAACCTCTAACCTACTTTTTGTCTCTATGCATTTGCCTGTTTCAGACAGTACACATAAATGGAATCAAACAGCATTTGTCCTTTTGTGTCTGGCTTATTTTACTTAGCATAGTATGTTCAAGGTCCATCTATGTTGTAGGATATGCCAAAACTTCATTCCTTTTTATGGCTAAATAATATTCCATTGTGTATATATGCCACATTTTGTTTACCCATTCATTTGCTGACCAACACTGGGGTTGTGTCTGCCTTCTGGTTACTATAAAGAAGATATGGTTTTTCATCACCATCTCCAGCATTTGTTTGATGATGGGCTATCTCACTTTGATTTCCATTAGTGTGGTTCCATTTCCTATTTATGTGATTTCCTTTTTTCCCCCCTTAACACATAGGTTAAATATAAGGCTGACCTGAAGAAACTTCACAAACCTGTGACTGACATGAAGGAGTCTCTGATCATGAATCATGTCCTGAATACAAGCCAACTTGCCAGTTCTGTAAGCTCAGTCATTTACTCCAGAAACATCGGGTTTCACCAATTTGGAACTAAATTCTTTCTCTGAGCCCACATGCATCTTTTCCTCTGCTATCAAAACACTAGATTTATTACAAAACTGTTCTCTTATTTGCGTGTATTCTTCCAAATGACAACATTAATCTACCAATTCTCCATTGACTGTAAAATCTCTCGGAATGCAAAAATGCTTCTTTTTTAGAAAATTTAAACTTTCCCCTCCAATTAACCATCGCATTTTCTCTAAGGACATAGAAATACCCTCTGGAATAGCTTCTTTTACTTCTAACCTTTTATTTATAACAGCTACTTTGAACCAACCACGTAACCTACATGTTTAGGTCTTAACTGACAATACTGAACTTGGATTCTCATCTTTTAAAGCTTTAACATCCTGGTTAGTGTTTGCCAATTTTTGTTTGATGTTGACAATGCTGCTGTGTAAATGTCTAATCTAAAGGGGAAAAATAAGAATGCTGAGCAGCTTTTCCACCGATGTGCCTTTTTTGCCTCCTTCCCCTCAGTACCAGTACAAGAAGAAGTATGAGAAGAGTAAAGGCCACTACCACACAATACCTGATAATCTGGAGCAGCTTCACCTAAAAGAGGCCACAGAATTACAGAGTATAGTAAGTGGATCAAGACCAATTTTTCCCCTGGCGCACATTCATCTACAGTATGAAAAATGTGAAAAAAAAATCTCATAGATTCCCTCCAGGATAGGTGTATTTTTAATAGTCATTGTTTGAGAAAATGCACAGATATAAGGGGTTTTGAATTTGGTAACTTATTGAAACAAATTCTTATGTTATACATTATAGCAACATCTACCCATAGTTGAGAAATATACATGCAATTGTATTATGTACTAACAGGGGCTGGAAGCATAAAGAGTGTGTTATGGGGGGATAAACCCCCCATAGTAATCACCATATGCCCCATGGGTTCATGTCCCAGCTTAGGGAACACTACAGAGGATTATCAGCAAGATTTCAAACAGAGAAGTGATATGATCAGATCTACTGAAAGCATTCCTGGGAATTTACAAAGTAACTAAATTTGTAAGATAGTCATATACTGGATGATGTTTTGGTCAACGGCAGACCGCATATGACGGTGGTCCCATAAGATTATAATGGAGCTACGCTATACAGGTGTACCATTTTAAAATCTTTAATATCATATGTTTGCTGTACCTTTTATATGTTTTGAGATACCTAAATACACAAATACTTACTCTTGTGTTACAGATGCCTACAGATTTCAGTACAGTAATACACTGTACAGGTTTCTAGCCTGGGAGCAATAGGCTATCCCATGTAGTGTAGGTGTGTGGTAGGCTACACCATCTAGGTTTGTTTAAGTGCACTGTGATGTTCACACAATGATGAAATTGCATGCAAAGCCTTTCTCATAACATATCCCAGTTGTTAAGCAATTCATGACTATAATTAAAGATCCTCAGAGGAAAGAACTTGCTATCACATGACCTCCTATATCACAAATTCACCATTATTTAGGTCCCCTGTTAGAAATGTCTTCGTATCTTCTGTGAGCAGTACATGCCCCAGGTCTTTATTCCAACATCTTGTTACAACCCCAAGAGCTCGGAGATTGAGCCTTGCCATCAAGGTGCTGGGTGCATGAGGGTTTTCGCTTCTCTGTCTTTCCAGTTCTCTGTCACGTATGAACATTGATGTGGCTCCCCCCTTTCCTAATAACTACGTTATGAGGATGAGGAAATAGTATGTATACAACAGCCTTGAGGGTCTTTTGAGAATGTCGAGTTTTTTAACAAGTCAGTCAATATGTAGTTTTCATTTTTATACCAATTTATTGGCTCCATAAAATATATGACCAGTCAGGACCCAGATAGAGTTGTTTACTTATAAAGCTCCATGTGTTATCCATTCAATCTAGACCTCAGGTTTCTGATAAACGTTCTCATGAAAGAAAAACTGAGGATTTTTATCAGAAATATTGATTAATGCTGATAGCATTAATAATCTTAAAGTGTTTACAGCTACCCATCAATTATTGACCCACCTCATCTATGGGTAATTTTCCCCATGCATTTTCTTACATCAGCATTTCTCTCAGCCGGTTCTTGTCAATGATTCTTTTGTCTCCTTGAATTGAATCCAAATCCTAATTATGCCTTGCAGACAGTAATGGTACCCATCCCCTCAACACCCAGACAACAACAAAAATGTTCTGGATCTGAAACTTAACAGGAAACTGTTTTGAGTTGCAATGAGATGCCATCCAACAGTTAGAATGTATCAATTAAAAAGTACTATCCTTAAACTGCTGTCTAGGAATTGACCAGAGGAGAGATATCTAACATGGCTTTCTATCACCAGGTGAAATACAAAGAAAAGTATGAAAAAGAACGAGGAAAGCCCATGCTGGACTTTGAAACACCAACATACATCACTGCCAAAGAGTCTCAGCAGATGCAGAGTGGGGTAAGTCCTAAAAAAAACGCACCACACAACAATGATTCTGTCACACTAATGAACACAAGCTCTGCCCACGACCTAGCCAGTTTCCTGTCATCCAAAAGTGGTAGCTGATGAAACTTAACATGTGATCACTAAAATCTTCTCCATCTCAGAAATCCTGTGGTTCAGTTATTTTTTTTTTAAATGCTCTAGGTGGTTGATACTTACCATATATGTTTTATTTCAACAATCATTTTTGTAAAATTAGAACATGGAAAACTATTCCTAACACAAACAAGTTATACTGAATGTAATTTGAATTTTCCTTTATGAATGAAAACTTCCCTCCGCACAGACACCCCCCTTTGGCCTTGAAATGCTCTACTCTTAGTAGAATGCCCCAAGCCAAACAGAAGGGCATCCATGATCAAGACGTTTAACAAGGCCCCGGATAATCAAAAATTAAGATGCCATATTTCTTATTCTAGAATTGTAAACAGAAGCATTATTTTTTTTCTTTTCATTTTTAACCAAGAGTAGAGAATAATAGAATTTTATTTTAAATCTTAGAAGTCTGTTTTCAATGGGAAATGGGTTTATCTGGAATTTCTATTTTCCTCTCTCTCTCCAGCTACAAAGAGATATGGTTTTAAATAAAAGTAGCAGTTCGTAGAGCTTTCTGGTGATAGAATGCCTGATCATCAAAACTTTAAAATGGTTTCAAAGAACTGGTGAATCTGAGTAAAGGATCTATGAGAGTTTCTTAATACTATTCCTGTGACTTTTCTGTAAATATAAAATTCATTAAAATAACAAAATTACAAAAGTAGAGTCCCAACATCTATCCCAAGTCCCTCTGTGAGTCAACCAAGTCTGGAGACTGGAGAGAAGATGGGGCAGGGAGGCAGAGTGGACAAAATCGCAGAATTCCACTGTGTCTCACTGCCCACCTAGTCTATTCAGTGATTTTTAAAAAATAGGTCAAAACTGAGTGTGGTGGCATACACCTATAGTACCAGCTACTCAGAATCCTGAGGTGGAAGGATTACTTCAGCTCAGGAGTTTGAGATCAGACCAGCCTGGGCAACATAGCAAGACCCCATATCAAAAAACCAGGTCATGATTATGAAAAAAAGCAAGTTAGCATTTGGTAGCCTTAGGCTCTCCTTCTTCTGGGATTTTTTTTTTTCCTTTTGCATCACTGACTTGTAATTCTGAAATAAAATCTTTTGTCACCTTAAGAAAGGTATGGGAAAGTTCAGAAGAAATGACAGAGGATTCAGTCTTGATGGTGCATCCATCCTCCTGCTCTGTGAAGGGCCTGCCCCAGTTAGACTGATGAGTGAGGGGCCCATCAAAGTGTCTCAGCCTCTGAGTTTCCTTGTGGCCATTTGCTCCAGACAAAGTCTTTCAAGAACAATCATACATGTTTCAAATGTGTGACCATTAGCAGAACTATGATCAAGTTAAGAGCCCATACATAGAAAATGCTGTATTTTTTTTTCTTTCTGATACTGAGAGATAAATTGTAATAAAATTTTTTTTAACTTGTCTTTCCTTCTTACTTACATTAGAAAGAATATAGGAAAGATTATGAAGAGTCCATTAAAGGCAGAAACCTGACTGGCCTGGAGGTCACACCAGCTTTGTTACATGTCAAATATGCAACCAAAATAGCAAGCGAGGTAGTGCCCACTTGGTCTTTTCTTTCCCTCTTAATCCAAATAATTGCACTAATGACACTCATTAATGTGTTCCTCCTACCATTTGCATCACCATCTAACTGTGGGTTTCAAACTGGGTTCTCAAGTGTTTGGTACTACCACCTAATCTATTACCCATGTTAATTCTTCTACTTTTTTATTTGAATATTACCTTAGCATTCTATGAACTTCAAGTTTTTATTTGATATTTAATGTTAACTGATTATGCTTATACCCTGCCTTTATTCATTTTTTTACTTACTAAACTATGAACCCTTTAAAAACTGGAATTGTTATTTTTTTTTTCTCCCCTTTGCCTAAGAGGATCAATCTGAGCTTTCTTCTCAGTGTTGTCGCTTTTCTTTCATGATATAGAAAGAGTACAGGAAAGATCTAGAGGAAAGCATCCGTGGGAAGGGCCTCACTGAAATGGAAGATACACCTGACATGCTAAGAGCAAAGAATGCCACTCAGATCCTCAATGAGGTAGGCCCACAGCTGGCTGACTGCACATAATTCATAGAACATCACTGCTTTGTTAGCCACATCACACCAAAACAAGCAGAACAAAAACAGAGAATAGAGAAAAAGAGCTTTTGATTTTCAGATTCCACATCCAGCATAATTGTTAACTATTACATAAAACATATCTCAATTTCTGATGAATGGATATTATAACAGTATACGTTTCTGTAGTGGTTATCATAATCTATTATCTAATATTATTTAACTTGATATATTTGGTGTGCTCATTTATATAAAAACACTACACCAGAGTGGTATGCACCTAAGTGTAATCTTGGTCATGTACCAAACCAGATGTACAATGTACTTTACATTCTAGTTTTCTAAGCAGAGAATGCTGAAAGTATTCAAAAGGAGGCCTCTTGACTCATATTGACTTGCATAGAATAGTTTCCTCCAGGGGTCTTCTGCAGACACCACTTTATCCTACTGCATGGAAGAGTGAAGGTGAACAGTAGTAAGAGACACTATCTGTGACAACTGAGGTGGCGTGTTATGTGGATTTATATTCACGCTGTACGTTCATTACCTAGCAGTAAAATTTAGGTACCTTTTTTTTTCTTTTAATGTTACTATAGAAAGAATATAAGCGAGACCTGGAACTGGAAGTCAAAGGAAGAGGCCTGAATGCCATGGCCAATGAAACTCCAGATTTTATGAGGGCTAGGAATGCTACTGATATTGCCAGTCAGGTCAGTGCTGCTATTCCATGTCAATCTTTCAGGAAAGTGGTTGTGATTTTAAGGACATGATGTGTCCCTCTGCCATCTGATTTATTGGTCAGTGACAGTCACATGCATACAATGGCATTGTTAAACATCTGCCTGGAAGAATCCACCCCAATGAAAGAATGGAGGACCCTTTGCCAGGCTTGTTGCTGTCTGCCTTTCTGAGTTTATAGGCTCTGGGGACACTCAGGGCAAAGGGCAGAAGTTGAGGAACTAAGCAGCTGTTTGGAGCTGGGGCAGACTTGACATCCTGGCCTTGTTTCTGAGTCAATCCACTCCTCATTTGATGCCAAGAATTCCTTGCTTAGAATATCTTGGGAGTTCTTTCTCTCCTTTCAAGCCCTAAGTTTAGAACCACTTTTAGGCATCTTACCTTGTCTAATGCTCGTTGATATGGGTCTTTTGCTTACTTGTCATCCTCCCAGCTCTTATGTAAACAATCCATGTCTTACTATCTGTTGATGATCCCTCCTTACCCATGCCCCATCCTGCATCCAACTAGATAGTCTCTCAACAGCTAGGACTTGACCTTTCTTGCTGAATCTCACTCTTTGGTATACAACTACGAACACACTAGGAAGAAATGTCTGTTGAATGTTGAATGAGTCCCTCTTGGAAAAGAAATACGGATCACCTCTTTATCAAATCAAGCCAACAACCGTTCGTTGTGCACATTGTAAACATTTACCCAACTATTGGGTGTCCTTTTACAGATTAAGTACAAGCAATCAGCAGAAATGGAGAAAGCCAATTTCACTTCTGTGGTTGATACTCCAGAGATCATTCACGCCCAACAAGTCAAGAATCTTTCAAGCCAGGTAAGGACATTCATCATGCCATCACTCACAGCCCCCAATCATGAAAGAATGGAAGTCCTTTCATTAATACCTTAAGAGACTTTTCAAATCAGTTTTTCCCAATAAAAAAGAGATTTGCCAGGCGCGGTGGCTCATGCCTGTATTCCCAGTACTTTGGGAGGCCAAGGCAAGTGGATAACTTAAGTCCAGGAGTTTGAGACCAGCCCGGGCTATATGACTAAACCCTGTCTCTACAAAAATTACCCAGGCGTGGTGGTGCATGCCTGTAGTCCCAGCTTCTAGGAAGGCTGAGGTGGGAAGATCGATTGAGCCAAGGAGGTCAAGGCTGCTGTCAGATTTGACCATACCACTGTAGTCCAACCTGGATGACAGAGCGAGATTCTTTTAAAAAAAAGAGAGTCCAGGCACGGTGGGTCACGCCTGTAATCCCAGCACTTTGTGAGGCCGAGACGGGTAGATCATGAGGTTAAGAAATCGAGGCCATCCTGGCCAACATGGTGAAACCCTGTCTCTATTAAAAATACAAAAATTAGCTGGGTGTAGTGGCACACACCTGTAGTCCCAGCTACTTCAGAGGCTGAGGCAGGAGAATCGCTTGAACCTGGGAGGCGGAGGTTGCAGTGAGCAGAGATCACGCCATTGCACTCCAGCCTGCGCAACAGAGTGAGACTCTGTCTCAAAAAAGAGAGAGAGGTTCACCTGTGATGCAGGAATTTTAAGGTACTGAAGAACTCTTACATGGTACAACCCATAATTAATGAATCAATATTTTAACATGTAAAATCTCTTATAACGTAGCTTTAAAATATGTGTGCAAATCTGGAAGACACAAAGTAGACAGCCCACATTATAATTACTAATCTCTAACAAGATTGAGATTGAGACCACATAGTCTAACCCTGACTCCTCCATGATGAATAACTCTCCATCCTCCTACAAATAGAGAGATGAAGAAAAGTAGGCTATTCTTCACATCCCAGGATATGCCCTCATTTGTATTAATGATCATCAGTGATGGGAAGGAGTCTGCAATTTGAGTGGCACCAGATTAGAATTTGTGCTTGTCTTCTGAGCAATGAATTCCAAAGCAGTAGTTAACCTGCCCCAGCTGTGCTTTATAGACACCTTGGGATGTAGATTCCCTGGTCCAACTCTGGAATTTTGATGGTAGTAAATCTGTGTTAGGCTCTGGAAATCTATTTTTGTTTTTAATTTTTACAGATCATCTCTTAATGACCAATCAGGTTAAGGAAACAGTGATTTCAACCATTATTAGCAATACATAGTTGTATGTTGTAATATTACACATGAAAAATACAGTTATCACTAGAGAATGGCTTGATTAGGAAACAGGTATATTCAAATGGGAGAAATGTTTCTTTGAAGGGTAGGGATGGGGAAGAATAATTAGCTTTTAAAACATTACCAAAATTATATGAGCTCCAAATTACCATGTTGTGTTCACTGAGGGAGCCAGGGAGGCCAACATTCTTTGGGTTATGAGAGGCTCACAAGCCTTTTGCCTTTGATATGGCTGATCTTTAAACAAAAGCTTCAGTATGTGGGTCTGTATCCCAGTGTGGGATCAAGTCACTTATTCTGCTCTACTGCGGCTCTCTTTGGCTGGTTCCTCAAGGCCTAAAATATAGCCAGGCAAGTTACTTCCTCCCCAATTCAGATCAGTATTTATAGGAGAATGGTAAATATTGGTGAGATGGTGCTTGTGTTTTCACAAACTTGCTTCTCAATTTCCAATGGAAAATCTGTATTTATAACTCTAAATCTCATACTTGGGGGTTAATGCAAGAAATGTGAGCTGACTCACAAATTTAGGATACTATACAGTAGTCTCCCCTTATCTGAGGGGCATATGTTCCAGGACCCCTAGTGGATGCCTGAAACCACAGACGATACTCAACCCTATATATACTCTTTTATCCTATACATATATACCTATGATAAAGTTTAATTCATAAATTAGCACAGTAAGAGATTAATAAAATAGAACAACAGACACTGTAATAAAAGTTATGTAGTTACATGAATGTGGTCTCCCTCAAAACATTTTATTATAATGTACTCACCCATTTTTGACTGAGGTTAACTATAGTTCACTGAAACTGTGGAAAGTGAAACCTCAGATAAGTGGGGACTGCTGTACTGAGTACTCCTTAATGCCAGTGTGGCAGGCCAGGTCTCACTAACAACTGCTTCAGTACTACCTGAGTGGTTAAATTAAATATTAAAAGCCAGTGCCCTTTATACGAAGGCTGGGATGTAAGGGAAGCCCACCAAAAGTTTCGCCTAGACCTTTCCTGGGCCTTAAAGCATAACAAAATAACGAAGGAATTCTTAACAGGACCCATTTAGAATTAAACAAGTTTTATTGTGGGTCTAAAAAAACTCCCCAGGCCTCCACAAACAAGTTTATTGGGGGTCTGAAGAAACTCCTCAAACCTCCCTGATTTAGCAGGATACAACTTAAGGGTAATCACCCCAGCACCTGAACCCATTTAAATTAAATAAATTTACTAAGGTTCCAAGGGAAGGCCTTCAGAATTCAGACATAATAAATTAAGTTAATCACTTATGTCTTTAGATGAATGTTTATGCATAAATACATAGCTTAAAAGGTATATAAGCTCTGAAAAACTTTATAATTTTGAGTTGGTCTGGGGACACTTTCCCAGCCTTCTCCCTGTAACTGGTTACAGAAATAAAAACTCTCCGCTGAGCATGGTGGCTCATGCCTGTAATCCCAGCACTTTGGGAGGTCAAGGCAGGCAGATCACAAGGTCAGGAGATCCAGACCATCCTGGCCAACATGGTGAAACCCTGTCTCTACTAAAAATACAAAAATTAGCTGGGCGTGGTGGTGTATGCGTGTAATCCCAGCTACTTAGGAATCTGAGGCAGGAAAATCACTTGAACCCGGGAGGCGGAGGTTGAGGTGAGCCGAGATCACACCATTGCACTTCGGCCTGGTGACAGAGCGACACTCCATCTAAAAAAAAAAAAAAAAAAAAAAAAAAAACAACCAAAAACAAAAACTTCATCCCCAGTTCATCTGCATCTCATTATTGGGCCATGAGAAATAGCCCAACCCTCAATTTGGTCTGGGAACAGCAGGGAGTTCGGGTCCCTTTCTCCCAGAATATGTCCAAATCCATGTCCAAATCTGATCACCCCTCTCAGGGATTAGCACCAGCTCAGTAAACCAGTTCAGGCAGCTTTTGCTTAATCTCGAAAAAAAATAAAAACAGAAGAAAAGGAAGATTGTTTCTATTCTTTTCCCAGGACAATGAGAACTGTTTTCCTTACCTCTACATAGCTAAGAAGCATCATCCAGGTGACTTTTTCATGACCAAAACATTTGTTTCTTGTGAACTACCATTTCCTTCCAGAAAAATCTTGGCTTTAATTTGCTTCCATTTAGATGAACAAAATCTAGGCCTAAATCTCTCATTGGCTGAAACTGCTTCTTTGTTGTCTTTGGGAAGATTAAAAATTTCAGTACTTATAAATGTAATTCCTATATTAACAATGTAAATAGAGATTGAATAGTTTCATCTCCATTATAATAATGGCTAGTCTCTTTCCTCAACCCTCAGCCCTATAAACCCAAACCTCCCTGAAAAGTAGGAGAAACTGGAGCTAAGTTAAGCTAAAGAGAAAAGTGAAAGAACATAGTGACAAGCGATGAAAGAAAAATAAGGCTCTAAAGGCAGAGTAAGTGTTCTGCGGCAGAGAATTAAGACAGTTTGGTGGTGGGAATGACTGCCTACTGGTGTCTGGAAGAGCGGCGCCTATGGACATGTCTCTCCAGCCAAAGGCTGGGGCAAGACAGGGGAGCCCAAGGGATAGTGATGTCTGGCTCTGAGCAGTTCTTGGCCAGTCAGCAGGCCTCAGTGGTGCTCCAGGTGTGTCTGTTTAGTAGAGCTGCCAGTCCTGTCAGCTACTTTCTGCAGCATCACAGCCATATTCTGGAAATGCCTCTGGGCCTGTTTGCCTGCTCAGTTCTGCAGGGGAGCCGTGACTGCACCTGCTCACGGCTTAGAGAACATCTCCTTGTCACCAGCTAAGACTTTCTAGAGGTCATGTCTTTGGCTCTTAACCCTCCAGCTTCTGTCTGTCTGCCTGTTGAGTAGTCTGACTACATAGCTTCAACCAGATCAGCGATGACTACTGCCACTGGAGGCATCCCCATCTCCCTTTCCAGGCCTTGCTGGCTGTGACTACCCTCCTGTGGACCAGCCAGGAAGGTCCCCCCTCTGCCAGCTTTGCCATGACAGTAGGTCCTATTCAATGTCTGGGCTCAGCTTTCCTGGAAAGAAAAAGTGTGGTGCTCTTTGACTGAAAGGGTTCTGCCTTGCAATGCCCTAACATCCTTGGACAGTTAAGAAAATACAAAGGACTTTCCCTCTACTGAGCTGGAAGGGCTATTTTAGGTCCCATTGGCCTATATCCCTGTGGTGTTTACCCTCCTTATTTCTTGGAATCTATTCCCAGAAAAAGTACAAGGAAGATGCTGAGAAGTCCATGTCATATTATGAGACCGTTTTGGATACCCCAGAGATGCAGAGAGTCCGGGAGAACCAAAAGAACTTCAGCCTTGTAAGTTTGTATTAAATGTAAGGCACAGCCCACAGGCCCCTGGAGGTGCTGAGGAGGATGCCTCTGGATGCCCCAGGCCTGCAGTGGGGCTTTGTGCAGCTCTCTACAACTCCCATCCTGCCCCAGTTAATGTGTGTTCGATTCATCTCTGGGCTCACCTTCTGTATTAATCCCAAATCACAGCATGAAAGACTCATCTGTTCCTTCCTTGGTGGTGTAACAGGTGTAAAACCCCTGTAACAAAAGAGAGATTAACAAGATAAACACATACAATTTATTTAATAAAACCTTCAGAAATGACGACCCAAAGAAACAGGGAAATGCTTGTATTTTTATGGACAGAGATGCAGAGTGATTGGACAGAGAGGGTATGATCCAATGGTAATAAACAGGGAGTTTAGCAAGGCCTGTTTGTTCAGATTCTTCTAGTGTCTCTGTGTCTTTGGCTCCTTCCTCTGGGTCTATGAAGGACCCTTCGGGAAGGAGAGGCTTATCGCCTGCTTTAGAGGAAGGTCAGAGAATTATTATCCGCTTTAGGAAAAAACGGTGAGAGAAGGCCAGAGACCCTCCTGCTTCTGCTGTTGTTTGAAATGACAAGGTGCCATATTTTGGGGTGGTGTATCCTAAACCCTGTCAGTGGCTTCCTTTACTGAACGTGAACTATCATCGCTTTCTATTAGTGGTGACATTTATCTTTTTCAAAGTTAAATCTAAGCAAGAGATACTTAAACAAAAACAAACCCCTAGCTTTATATGTTTTTTAAAATTAGTTTTTCCACAAAACTCTTATGAAATAATTTACCTTAGGTTACCAGAGCATGATTATTGTGGCATAGAGTTTTTTTTTTTTTTTTTTTTAAAGATACAGGATTTTATTTTCCTTTACACAATATAGAACAAATAAATAAAACAATGTTGAAATCTTAACAAGATGTTTACTGTTTCTTCATAGCTCCAATACCAGTGTGACCTTAAAAACAGTAAAGGAAAAATTACAGTTGTTCAAGACACGCCAGAAATACTGCGTGTAAAAGAAAATCAAAAGAATTTCAGCTCGGTATATTTACTATTTACTTTCCATTGAATGCTAACCTAGTAATTTCACTCTCCTCTTTAAAAGTATACTAGCCTTACACTGACAATTAACATCTAACCTCCTCAGGAATACCAGCAGTGATTTGTTAAAATTCCCCATACTTTGCTCCAATTCATCTCTCCAAAGACCATTTGAAATAACTTTAAATCTGCTAACAAAGTAACTTTTTAAATTTTTTAATCGCAGAGTAGTAACGTGTGTTGTCTTGCTCCAAGAAGATGGATTTCTTTTTGACACTGTGATTTATTTTATCCTTCCCCCAAATAACTGACTGACTTTGCAGTTCTTTAATGGATTTTGTGTTTGTTGTTGTTGTTAGCATTTCCTGGCTTTTCTCATCTGTGTTAGTATGGTACCATAATCTTAAAAGAAATCTTAAGATCTGGAAGGTGATGCATGTTGCGTATCTGGTATGAGTCACTGATACTGATGTGGAAATGTCAGGTGTGATGCTCTGGCACTTGCCTGGATCATCATCTAGTGTCTTGTTTTCACAGAAGTCATGTGTCCTAGTCTTTCTCCAGAAACTGCTGGGTTTTCCTTTCTTCTTTGTAACACTGTCATGATTCTGAATGCCCAGGTTTTATATAAAGAGGATGTCTCACCAGGAACGGCAATTGGAAAGACACCTGAGATGATGAGAGTGAAACAAACACAGGACCATATTAGCTCGGTAAAGACACAGTGGATGCACATCCCACATTTTTTGCCTCCCTTTGATAATTTACAGTGACCCCTGAGTTGTACTCAAAGACTTTGTCACTAGAAACAGCTTATATTGCTAAAATAGGTGCTTGTGTGCCACCACCAACACACAGTGTGCGCCAGTGGCTAGAGTCATCTCATATTCAGTGCAGTGCTTTGGTGGTTTTCATGAGGGAGAGATTCGATATGAAAAACAGAGAGGCTTTTGAGAAGGTAGAATCCGGTACAGTCAAAGAACCAACCTTCCTGGATACATGTATGTGAATCTATTTGTGCTAGTCAAATGACCTGCTGGGCATAAACACATTGGGGTATACAGGAAAGGGCTGCAGTCTATAAAGGGGCCCCCACCTCTGCCCCAAAGAGACAAGAGAGAGACAAAGTGTCCCTGTCCTTGGAATTGTTCTCCTCTTACCCAATATTAGAATGAGGTCCCTTTCACTCTAAGTATAAAGCTTGTGTTTTTTAAATTGTGATTTTTAAAATTTGGGGACTACTAATCAAACATATGTACATGTTGGTAAGAGTAACTGTCCAGCACGTCATATAATACCTTTCTTTTCCCATTTTAAAATCTGCAGGTGAAGTATAAGGAAACAATAGGACAAGGAACTCCAATCCCTGACCTGCCTGAAGTGAAACGTGTGAAGGAGACGCAGAAGCACATTAGCTCGGTAGTGGCCATACTCTCAGCTTGCATTTGTGTGACTGCCCATCTTCCAATTGCTATCCTGCTTTCTCTCATCCCTTCTGCTTCCTACCAAGGGTTTCCATGCCTTGGGGAATGTTGTGAACCCTCCCTTTGACTTGATGGGGTTGCTACCAGTTACAAAAGTAGTAAGAAACCTCTCTTCTCATAATAAAGGAGAAGAAGGGACTTGGCTTTTTTTCCCCACCTGTCACTTACTTGAAGCTCATGGACTTGGCTTCTTAATTTTCATGCCATTTGTTTCCAAAGTAAAATGTTTTGATGGTAGTAATAAGGTTATTGGGACGATCTCAAGTAATTTAACCAAAGCATATACATATAAGTAGTATAGCATACTTTGGTTTTATGTGTATATAAAAAACGGCTCTGTGTGTGTGTGTGTTATGTATGACATATCATATGAATGATAGGATTCCCCTGTGTAGAAAAAAGACCCTAGGCAGACTTGTGAAGTCTCTTCTCCCTTCCCAATTTCAAGGTTTCTTATCCTGTATTCTCTGCTGTCATCATCTTGTAAATGCAGTGGTACAGGCTGTGATCTACCTACAGTGGTATATTATATATTAAGCCTGCGCTCTCATGGGAATTTCAGGCACCTGTGTACAATTTATTAAGGGTCGGGTGCCCCCCACACCTGAAGTAGCAGCACGTTTCTCCTGAGCTTTTGTCAAGCCCTGGCTCTAGACCCCACCCCGTTTTCCCATCACAGATTCTAGGCAGGTGTTGGCTACTAGCAAGAGACTATGAAGTCTGGGAAATAGTTTGTGGCCAATAAAAGGTGAGGACCTTAGTCTTCGGATTCCCCTGGTCACTGGAGGACTGAACTCTTGATTTTCTTTAAGAGATACTTGACATTTCTCTTGCAGGTTGTTCATATTATTAAGATCTCATTCCCTGCTTATACTCTGGCTCCCTTGTGGTCCAAATTTCATTTAGAGTTTTGTGTCCTGTAATATGAGAAAGTTAGCCCAGGCTCCTTTGTCACTTTGCATTACAACTTCTTGCTTTTAATTTTGTTTTGTGCTGTTGTCCATTATCAATTCTGTTGCTTTGTTGGGTAAAGAATAAAGAAATGCAACTTTGTTACCAAGAAGGTAGATGTTCAGAGGTTTCTAAAACTTTCCTTGCAAAACAAAACTATCACCCCTAGCTTGTCACTGACTTTTAAGAATTAAAATCTGGTTATGTTGCTCCCCATCCCATGCACTAATACAGCAGGGAATCTATCCATTTAAAAGAACCCATTCAGTCCTTTAGGCTGAAAACTTGAGGAGGCAAGAAGCTTGGAAAGTGGAAGTTCCTTATCATTTTCATTAAAATGCATAGTCCTTCGATACTACTACCAAAAAATTGGACTTCTCCCAATTCAGAAAACACTAGTTTACTTCATCCAGCCATCGGCAATAAAAATTTCAGGTAAAGATGCTCCTCCTGAAAAATAAACTGATTAAACCTCCTCATATCCAGGGACTAGGATCCTATAGATTAGGAGCCAGCTAGGAACATTCATTAGAATATACAAAACAGAAAATTCTCAACAAGCCTGAAGGAATAGCGTATCCTATGATTTGAAAATTTTAAACCAAGCAATCTATTCATTAAGCACAAGTCTACTGCAGGCCTCCTATATTCAAGGCACCAATGCTAAAATGGCTGGATTTTTCCCATTGGTAAATTTATTATTAATTATTTAATGCATTTTAGGTATATACCAAGTGGTTATAGAAAATGCTAATTTAGTGCCCAATTTTCAAAGTAGTGAAAGTTGTTACTACCTTTGAAAAGAGAACATAAATATTTATGGAAGTTCCCCCCTATTCCTTGTATGTTGTATTTGAGAGCTAGATTGTTTTTATGAGTTTCCCCCAAATAGCCCACATGTAGCTGCTATCTAAAGGATTCATGGTCATTTTACCTTTCCGGGTATTCTAATTATTTTCTACAGGTTATGTACAAAGAAAACTTGGGAACAGGCATTCCAACCACTGTGACTCCAGAGATTGAGAGAGTCAAACGCAATCAAGAGAACTTTAGCTCGGTATTTATGAATATATAAAAAACTATTTCCCATAAGAAATTTACCACATAACCCACCTTTTTTAAAGAAAGTAACATCTTAACAACAATTCTGTGTATGTCTGTGTGTGATGTATATTATTACCTGAGCAAAGCCATCTTAATATAAAATGACTCACATTTCCAATTATGCTTTAACATTTTCAGTGACTTGACTAGATCTGAAATACTGTAAGTAGAATTAACAAGATTCCTCAATGTTATATCCTATAACTTGATGCTTTCCATTGTACTTTTTCATTTCCAGAATTAGCACTGTAGAGTTCATCCTATAAACTGTGAAGTAAAAAAGTAAAAACATTATCCTTACTAAATATTACTTACTAAAAAACTGCCTCCTCACACACAACCCCTTCCCCCAATTTCCTCCCTTCCTTACTCTCTGTGCTTGTTTTAAATGTCCTCTGGATACTTTCTTGTATCTCACAGGTTTTGTACAAAGAAAATTTGGGGAAAGGAATCCCAACACCTATCACTCCAGAGATGGAGAGAGTCAAACGCAATCAAGAGAACTTTAGCTCGGTATTTCTTAGGGGACCAAAAAAAAAAAAAAAAAATCCTCAATTTTATTTAAAATGATAACACCTTACAAATTTAAAATTACTAAATTCATATAATGAAAATAATGGTACCAAATATTACCTGTTTTCAACCCAAATCTAATTTAGTATTTAGTTCTGGTGTGAAATTTTAACTGTGTTTTCTCTAAAACATAGATATTTATCACTTTCTTTAAAAACCTGTAATACTCAATGCTTTCTTCCTCGATCCCTCCTTTAATAACAGTAGGTGTTTCTAACTGGTGTGGCAGAAGTCAAAAGTAAAACCTAACGCCCCTTCAAAAGACAATGATAATTAGAATTTTATTTGTATTTATTGTGGCTTTTTGATGTATTCTGTGTTTGCAGCTTTTCTTGAAGATTTTTCTGTTTAGATGTTTATTATTTTTCCATAAGTTTTGGGGGTACAGGTGGTATTTGGTTACATGAGTTTTTTAGTGGTGATTTGTGAGATCCTGGTGCACCCATCACCCACGCAGTATACACTGCACCATACTTGTAGTATTTTATCACCCCACTCCCACTCTTCCCCTCAAGACCCCGAAGTCCATTGTATCATTCTTATAACAACTTTGCATCCTCACAACTTAGCTCCCACATATCAGTGAGAACACACAATGGTTTTCCATTCCTGAGTTACTTCACTTAGAAGAATAGTTTCCAATCTCATTGGAGGTCACTGTGTTTGCAGCTTTTCTTAAAGGAATGTCATTCTTAAACATTTTCATTCAAAGACAACACAGCAATTCACAGTAACTCAGAAATATAATTTACTTGTCTCAGCTATTTTTTGTACGCTATGCAAGATAAAATTTTTCCTTTGGAAAACCTTCAGGATCATTGAAAGCTAGTATTATTTAGCTTTTGGTATTTATTCTTTATTTTGTTCCCCTAAACCTGCCTTTCTCTCTCCTTTCTTTCTTTGGTTCCCTAATTTAATGTTACCAACAACTCAGGATAGTAGTAATTTCAATTAGTTTGAATGCTGTTTGATACAACTGTCTTTGAGAGAAGGCCTACGTAAGTCAAGCCACTCCTGCCGGCAGCCTGGCAGCTGTGTTTTACTGATGTCTTTTAGAGACAGACATCCTGTGTGTGACTAAGTGTCCAAAGGGGATCTATAGTTACTCTGTTTTAAAATGTTATTTAGGTCTATTTTACTTCATCATAAAACAACAAAAATACCTTTAGGCTCTTTTTTTTTTTTAGGTTAAATCTACCTAAAAGGTGGGTCCAGGTTGATTTGTTTGTTGGTTTTGTGCACACAGATATTGTACAAAGAGAACTTGAGCAAGGGGACTCCCCTACCTGTCACTCCTGAGATGGAGCGAGTCAAACTCAATCAAGAAAACATTAGCTCGGTATTTGGGAGAAAGCTCTTTAACTCCATATTAAAAAAATAATAATTTCTATAAAACAGAACATCTTATTATTCATCCCTTCATAATAATCAATTTAACAAAATCTTTTAAGTCACACCAACTGAATCCTTCTGTTTTCCAGATCTCCTACTCACCATTTGATTCTAACACTTTATACTTCTATAATAGTCCCTTAAAACTTTTTCTTTCCTTCTCTTTTCACCTTTATGTTACTGTTGGGACTGTTGAAGTTAATTGATTTCCAGAAAAGAAAAACCAAACACTAAAGGTCTTATTTACTTTGAATTCTTTTTAATCTGATGTTGCTGGGTTAGAGATGCAAGAAAAGATACTGGACTTGAAGCCACATGTAGAAATGGTGGCTCTTGCTTGGGAACAGGAATCATCTTAACATAGACCCTATTCAGATAAACAGTAGCACCAAGAAAGAAAATTGCTCAATATTGAAACCAAAAGAAATCTTATTTTGGGCCAGGTGTGGTGGCTCACACCTGTCATCTCAGCATTTTGGAAGGCCAAGACAGGCAGATTGCTGGTGCACAGGAGGTTGAGACCAGCCTAGGCAACATGGTGAATTCCATCTCTACTATAAATAGAAAAAAATTAGCCAAGCATGGTAGTTGGTGCATGCCTGTAGTCCCAGCTACTCAGGAGGCTGAGGTAGGAAGATCGTCTGAGCCCCATGAAGTCAAGGCTGCAGTGAGCTGTGATTGTGCCACTGCACTCCAGCCCGAGTGACAGGAGTGAGACCCTGTCTCAAAAAGTAAAAATAAAAAAAGGAAGAAAGAAATCTTATTTTGATACTTGTTCTAAACTAGCCATTTCATGGATAGAAATCCAGTCCTTCTGATTTTTTTAAATATACAATAAGATCATAAGCTTATATTTAATGTTACTTTCTCTTTTATTAATATTGTTGCTGAAAACCTCTAAGACAAAAATTATTTGTATATTATAAAATAATACAAAACTCTGAAACTTCTATATAAAGATCTTAGGTTCACTTATACCTATGATGGAGAATCAAATGTCATTAGGAAAATTTAGTTGGATTTTTTTTGGGAGGGAGTAGAAATTAATCCAAAATGTTTTTAATTGTCAGTTTAAATATATTCTAAAAGTTTGATTCTTTGACATAATTAGATCAGTAACTTTCTTTGGTCCCACCGTCTTTTTGTTCTGTTTCGTTTTTAATTACTATTCACTAACAATCCTTCAATTTTGTTAAATTTTCAATGTAAGTTAATATGTCTTTTGGAATGTTACATTCATTGTTTTCCCCGTGGGTTCATTATTATTATTCCTTTTATTTAAAGGCTTGCAATAATTTCAAAATTACTTTCTAATTATTTTCTTCTGTACTAGAATAAGTATATTATTTTTGTATCTATTTGAAACCTTAATGATCCTGATGATTCTGGACTTTTTTTAAAGTAACCATTTGCATTTTTACACAGATTGCACCTAGGCTAAATTGTCCAGTGGTGGATAAGCCTATTAGATACTGTGGAAAGTAGACAATGCCATATAGTGACTTTTAGACTTGACCATCTCTACAATCCGAACTTAATGACAAAGACCAAATTGCCATATTGCATAGATCTGGCCTGTTAAATATTTCTGATACTGTAAAACAAATGTCTTTTGTAAAGAAAACAAATATTTGCTAATATAACTTCAACAATTTTTCTATTGTACACCGACTATTTTAATGGTCTTAGGAAATTATTTGTATTTTTTTCCTTAATTCCTGGCACAGGAAATACTTATATTCAAGTTACAGTAAAAAGGTGAATATCAAATACAGTAACATTTCACTAAGGAAATACAAAACATGTTCTCACCCAGATCTGTGCGTGAACAGAGAGGTTGACTTGTTGAATTTGTCTTTTCTGTCTGATGTCTGTAGTTTCAGACTAGATTCTCCACAAGGTAGACGAAAGGGCTGTTTTGATTGCTCTTGTTTCTTCTGGATGCTTTCTTGTGTCATACAGGTGTTGTATAAAGAAAACGTTGGAAAAGGGATTCCAATCCCCATCACTCCAGAGATGGAGAGAGTCAAACACAATCAAGAAAACTTTAGTTCGGTATTTAAAAATGAAAAATTCCTTTAACTACTTTTTAAAAGTTTAAAAAATATTAATGGCTAGATTTTAAAAATCTAATCAACTCATTCCAATAAAAAATTTGACCTGTCATTTTCCCAACTTAATGCTGCCATTTCCCACGAATCAGTTTTCTCCATTTTGGTAAAACATTAATACAATCATTTAACTTAATTTTTTAAAAAGTGTTATTATATTCCTGGCTTTTACAAATATAACATTCTCAGTGTCTAAGCATCCACATTTATCCTGCTTTGGCAAAGTTGATCTGAACCTAAAGCTTAAAACAAATGTATTCTGCAAAGATCCGACTATCAGGCTCATTTATTATTCTAACCTCTTCTGTCTCTACTGGTATTTGTACAGATATTTTGAAGTTTCTTTTTTTTTTTGTTTTTAGCACCTTATCATTGCTCTCCATTTGCCTTAAACATTGTTCTTCCCAATATGTTTACCCAAACTAAAGGTTAAATACTTTGACTTCTTTTGAAGTAAACAAAAGAAGGTTTGTGTGTATATGTCTCCATATATAAAATGCTTGTAAAACCCAAATATCCTTACGTGATTTTATTAATAGCATTTTCAAGTCAAAAATAACTTCCTTGGTTTTGTTTCTGTCTCTCGTCTGTTTCTATTTTTTTCCCTCCGTGTAACAAGCTGGGAAAGACTAATTCCTCTCTTTCACGGTTGCTCAGCGCTGCAGAGATTAATTCAAACAAGGAAAATAACAAAACTTTTTCTTATTTCTTAGTTTTTGTTGCTCTTTCCTGCATTCCTTTGCTTTTGAAGATGTCTTTAAAAGGCTCAAACAGGTTGAGTCTAAAAGCTTCTGGTACTTCTCTTCCTCTAATTCACTCTCTTCCTCCCTTCCCACTCCCAACTGCTCCAAAGCAGGGGGAAAATGATTGATTGATTGCTTTTTTTTTTTTTTTTTTTGTTCTGGATGCTTTCTTACCATACAGGTGCTATACAAAGAAAACCTGGGGACAGGAATTCCAATCCCCATCACTCCTGAGATGCGGAGAGTCAAACACAATCAAGAAAACCTTAGCTCGGTATTTTGAAAAGAAAGGGGAAAAAATGCCACTTCAGAATTAAACTGATCCTTACATTTATTTTTTGTTTTAAACTCATTTCCCTTCCTTTGCTTCTAATATATTTTATATTACAAAAGGATATACTTTCCCATTTCTATAATACAATTAATTTCGATGTTTTACTTCATCTGATATTTTCAAAAATTTTTTTAAATAATGAGTTTTTCTGTTTGTGTGGTTAACAACGCCGAGTTCTAACAGTCTCAAATCCTTGTTGGTTTAGGAGGCACCATACTCACAAAAATGAAAAAAAAAAAAAAAAAAAATAACATGAATAACTCTGACAGCCTTTCCCCAGCAGCTGAGGTCCCTGCTTCTCTAGAGGGTGCAGATTCCCCATCCCAACAATGGCTTCCACTGAAGTATTCAGTGGCAGTTTGTCAGCAAATAACTTCTGGCTCCTTGGACGACTGTTTTCTCCTCACACTTAAAACATCCCAAGAAATGAAATGTTACTTACTCATGGTTGTTTTTCTGGATGCTTTCTCATCGCACAGGTGTTATACAAAGAAAACATGGGCAAGGGAACCCCTTTACCTGTCACTCCCGAGATGGAAAGAGTCAAACACAATCAAGAAAATATTAGCTCGGTACTTTCTAAAGAAAAGAAACTACTCATTTAATGATTTTAGAAACTTTCATGATTTAAAATAATACATATTAATCCTACTTTTTAAAGACAACATAAATTTTGTGCATTCCTTTAGCAAATTTATCCCTTTTTCCTTTGGGGTGCTTCTAGCCTAACACCATTCCCGGTTTTATAATACAGTTAACTTTGATTTTTTATTTCATCTGATATTTTTAAACATTCTTTTAAAAATAATGAGTTTTTCTGTTTGTGTGGGTAACAACGCCGAGTTCTAACAGTCTCAAATCCTCGTTTGTTTAGGAGGCACCATGCTCACAAAAATGAAAAAAAAAAAAATTAACATGAGTAACTCTGACAGCCTTTCCCCAGTAGCTGAGGTCCCTGCTTCTCTAGAGGGTGCAGATTCCCCATCCCAACAATGGCTTCCACTAAAGTATTCAGTGGCAGTTTGTCAGCAAATAACTTCTGGCTCCTTGGATGACTGTTTTCTCCTCACACTTGAAACATCCCAAGAAATGAAATGTTACTCATGGTTGTTTTTCTGGATGCTTTCTCATCGCACAGGTGTTATACAAAGAAAACATGGGCAAGGGAACCCCTTTACCTGTCACTCCCGAGATGGAGAGAGTCAAACACAATCAAGAAAATATTAGCTCGGTACTTTCGCAAGAAAAGAAAAACTATTTAATGATTTTTAAAACTACTTTCATGATTTAAAATAATACATATTAATCCTGCTTTTTAAATGACAACTTAAATTTTGTGAATTTCTTTAGCAAATTTATCCTTTTTTCCTTTGGGCTACTTCTAGCCTAACCCCATAACAACAAGATTGCTTTAATCTATATTTTGAAGTTCTAATATCAACAAGTAACAGATTTTCTTATAAAACATCCTTTTGCTTCTCCCTCCTCAAACTTTCTATCCACTTCCCCCAAGGTCTCTTTGTTTTACATATGCTTGAAATTTAGGATGGAGTATATGGGGCGTGGTAGAGTAGGTCCAACGGGGAATTTAGGATGGGTATGTGTGGGGTTGTAGAGTAGGTCCAATGGGGCTCTTTCTTGAATATTAGTCATGATTTTGTTTTTGTGTCAATGACTTCAGTTTCTAATTTACCCTGTCAGATTTGGACAAAGAGACCTTGGGAAAAATAACTCCTGATCCCCTCCTTCAAGGATAATGATATAAATTATGATTCAGTAGTTTTTGCAATTGATCGTCAACTTAAAACTGAGTGTCACCAGAACGGCTTTTTGTTTTACTGATTTTCGTTTTTGTTCTTTAGTTTTAGTGTAGTCTTTAACTGCAAACTTTAGTAAACCATTTCCTGTAAACTTGTGCTCTATGACATTATATGTGATTGTAAATTACCCAGGGATTGAGGTTTGCATGGGGACTTCAGCTTTCAGTAGCAAACAGCCTTGTGGCCTCCACGTTTCCACTCTCTGTAGGTTTCTCCAGTACTTGAGTGCAGTGTTCTAAAACATAAGCGCATATCAGAATAACCTGGAGGGTTTGTGAAGCCAGATTGCAGGGTCCTGCTCTAGTTTCTCATTCCGTAGGTCTGGTACAGAAGGGGCCAGAGATTTGCATTTTTAACAAGTTCTCAGTACTGACCTTGCTGTTCAGGGACCCCAATTTGAGAACCATTATTTCAGCAGAATTCTTTCTCTTGAATGTCATTTCCTAAGCTTCCCATGTTTCCAAGAATGACACTGAGAGGAGATAATGAGGTTGAGGATTTATCACGATTTGTTACTATGTTTCTCATTTTCTATTTGACTATGATAGTAAGAGTCAAAAACATTTTTCCTTAATAAGTTTGATGTTGTATTAAACTAAAGAGGCAGAGCATAGAGGATAGCAAAGAAAAAGTGGCTAGGGGAAACCCTTTGCCTTATCTGAGGGCCTACAGTTTTATTGATGCATCTATGAGGGTTTAAGTGCTGCAAAACAGTTCAGTAAAAAACCAGCTGCTCTATCAGTAGCAGCCTCAACCTTCTCAAGTGTGATTGACGCTCATGCCTGTAACTCTTGTTTAAATCATCTCTCAAGCTTGACATTCAGAGACTAGCAGTAAAATGATGGTGGTCTCTCATCACTTTGAGGAACACCACAGTTCTCTCTTGCAGTGTTCAAGGGTTTCAGGACAGGGGCCTAACCCGGACACATTGTGTCTTGCTGTAACTACACTTAACTTCCTTGAAAAATATACTGCTTTCCATCTAACCTTATTGCCCAAATGGTTTGGGGCCCTGAGGATAATCAAAAGTTATCTGTACCATTTCCTTTTTTGGTAACTGTAACTCTCTTTCTTTTTGGATCCGTTGGACTCGCATAGGTTTTGTACAAAGAAAATGTGGGGAAAGCCACCCCAACCCCTGTCACTCCTGAGATGCAGAGAGTCAAACGCAATCAAGAAAATATTAGCTCGGTATTGTCTTGAGAAACAAAAGTGCTTTTAATTTTGCAAAATAACTCCCGCGGTTTGGCCTGCTCCTAACCCTATTTCCAGGTAAAAAGAAAAAAAAAATGCCAGTTATATTTGCATTTGCTCTGAATATCACACTGTATTTACTGTTAGCTATTAACTGTTTTTAAGCTTTCTTCTTGATAGATGTTCTCACTAATAGTAATAGATTAAACATGGCGTTTCCCTCCAACTTGCAATATAATTAATAGTGATTATTGCTTCATAGTGACTTTTGGGTGCAACTTTGTATCTCACAGGTGTTTTACAAAGAGAACCTGGGGAAAGCAACCCCCACACCCTTTACTCCTGAGATGGAAAGAGTGAAACGCAATCAAGAAAACTTTAGCTCGGTATTTCAGAAAGGAAAAATAAATCCTTAAAATTTTAACAGGCCTGGCAAACATGGTTATACCACTAATTTATCTTAGTGTTTCCAAAACGTTTGCGTATCTTAAAAATTCTTCCCTATCCACTTAAAAACAACAAACCTACCCCACCAGGTTACAGTGATTTTACTTCTTTCTTAAACTTTTGCTTCCTACTGTAACATTTTAATGGCTTTACCTTCGGTGTGATATAATTGAGCCATAACACCAGCTAAGTGATGATTTTCAGACCTGGTTTTCTGCTATCTGATGCCTGGATGCTCTTTTGGCTTCCCTAGGTATTGTACAAAGAGAACATGAGAAAAGCAACTCCGACACCTGTTACTCCAGAGATGGAGAGAGCTAAGCGCAACCAAGAAAACATTAGCTCGGTATTTTCTAAGACTAAAAAGAAATAGTGCAACAACTTGGAAAATAACATCTTAACATCATAAAAACACGCCTTTCTCATGCAACTGAAAAACACACTAAAATCTTAAAAGAGAAAAATGCAACATATTTGAAAGTAACATTTTAACACCAGAAAAATGTGCACTTTTTTATTCAACTGAAAATTTACACTAAAATTGACATAAGTGTGCTTTTATATTCCAAACCACCATACTAAACAAGTTAATTGCCAATGTTTTCCTTCCCCTTTCACTTTACTTGAGGTAGTTCTACATAACCAATTATAACAAATTTACTTCCTAACATCCTCAATCTTCTCTCCTTTAGTTTTAAGATACTTTATGACATGGGTAATACACTGAAACAGATGCCTTCTTTGGCTATATTTTGGGGTTTTAGTATCTAGAGGACTTTGATTTCTATACTGGCATACTGGTTTAGGAAATCTGAACATAACCTAAGGAAAATGATCACTTCTTTTAGGACATTCTTTCAAATTCCCTTCAATATCAGATTTAGAGCCAAATACCATCGAATATGTTGATGCTGTAATTCCCAGCAAATTTTAAGAGGTCATTTTTTCTTTTCAAAATTATACTATGCCCCTTCTTTGAAAATGAGTTTCATTTTCAAAGTCAAAACAAGTCTATTCTCTTCTGAGGGCCTTTCTGGTCCCCAGGTTAGCCTGATCCACAGTTGGTCAAGTGTCTCACTGGGCCCCTTCAGTTGGCCAGCCTCCCTCACCAGCTTCTTCCATCTCTATCTGCTGGAAAAGCTTTGAGGTTTCAGATTTAGAACAGCACCACTCATTCATGGTCTCTCCTCGATCAGGTTCTTTATTCTGATAGCTTCCGGAAACAAATACAAGGCAAAGCTGCCTATGTGTTGGATACCCCAGAGATGAGGCGGGTGAGGGAGACCCAACGGCACATTTCAACGGTGAGTCAGGAATTCTTTAGGATGGGCTGGCTGCCTGTTGGAATGTGTAAAAAGGGAAATGGTCACACCATCATATTTTCATAAGCAAATTCATGACATTTCAGGTGAAATATCATGAAGACTTTGAGAAACACAAGGGTTCCTTCACACCAGTGGTGACAGATCCTATCACTGAACGAGTAAAGAAGAACATGCAGGACTTCAGTGACATTAACTACCGAGGTATTCAGAGGAAAGTGGTAGAAATGGAACAAAAACGGAATGACCAAGATCAGGAGACTATTACAGGTAACTGAGCCTGGGGTGGGGAAGGGGATTAACTTTGAGGGGTAGAATAAAAGTAACATTATCTACATCAAGTCAAAATATAAGGACTTCAATCTGTTTTTATTAGGGGTGCAAGAAAGCTCCTATTATTTCACTGTTTACAAAGCTGGTATCTCTTCTACCTTTGTTCTCCTGTGAGAAGGCATGACCCAGAACCTAAGCTGGAATAAGTGTAATTCAATCCGCTGGTGGTTGTTAAAATTCATGCCTTGGTTTTCAAGTTATTGGAGAAGTCCAAGAACACTTGTTCTGATCATTACTTTCCCTTTCAGGTCTACGTGTCTGGCGTACTAATCCTGGTTCAGTTTTTGACTATGATCCAGCAGAAGACAACATCCAGTCCCGAAGCTTACACATGATTAATGGTGTGTTATGCTCAAAAAGGCTTACAACATAAACATCACCATGTAGTACGCTAGAGTCAATGACTTTTATTTGGGCTCTGAAGTTCCTTCCCTCCAGGGTTTTGCATTTTCTGAGTTGCCCATTTGGCATAAAAATACCTTGTTGGCCGGGCACAGTGGCTCACGCCTGTAATCCCAGCACTTTTGGAGGCTGAGGCAGGTAGATCACAAGGTCAGGAGTTCAAGACCAATGTAGCCAAGATGGTGAAACTCCGTCTCTACTAAAACAAAAACAAAAATTAGCCAGGTGTGGTGGTGGGTACCTGTAATTCCAGTTGCTCTAGAGGCTGAGGCAGAGAATTGCTTGAACCCAGGAGTTGAAGGTTGCAGTAAGCCGAAATCGCGCCATTACAGTCTATCCTGTGAGACGAGACTCCATCTCAAAAACAAAACAAAACAAAAAAAACCTTGTTAACTAGTGAGCAAAACTTACTTTCTAAACAAGTTCAAGTTAAGAAAAATTTTGTTTCACTACCTCAGTGCATGTCTCCTTCAGGCCCCATTATTATTTCTATTTTTATAAAATACATAGGCAAAGGGAAGAGAAGGATTTGACTTTTAGGAACTGTCTGAGCTCTATTCCATCAATGAAGATTATTCATTCAACAAAGCAGGCTGCACAACTTTATGCCTTTTATTCATGTTAAGAAGTAGAATACCAGCCTGGAAAACAGAATGAGAGACCTTCTCTATCAAAAAAAAAGAAATAGCCAGAAGTGGTGTTGTGTACCTGTAGTCCCTGCTGTTCAGGGGGCTATGGTAGGAGGATGGCTTGAACCTAGGTCGAAGCTGCAGCGAAACGTGACTGCACCACTGCCCTTCAGCCCTTCAGCCTGGGCAACAGAGCCCCCATCTCAAAAAAAAAAAAAAAAAAAAAAGAATATCATGTAGACACAGTCCTCAAAGTATGTGTACCTTAGATTTCTGATGAAGAGAGAGAAGTAAATCCATGGTTGCATCCTGACACGTGTAATTTTAAAGGTCTGCCAATGGTATTTTGGGAACACAGAGAAAGACTCTAAATTGATTTGGAGTTAGGGAGGACCTTCTGGAGAAGTTAAAGATGGAATCTGAATGTCAATATTACTATTTATTTATTCTGATGAGCCAGGAAAATTGGCAGGTTGGAGGAGAGATGTTACAAATAGACTCCTGGATTTGAAACCTGTCTGTACCAGTTAACTGTTCCATGACCTTTGGTCATTTGCTTAAGCTCTCATCTGCAAAATACGGAAGACAAACCTATATCAGAATAATTGTGAGGGTTTGACCCATGGGAAACTACTGAAAACCATGCTTGGCAAAAAATAACGATAACTGATACTCACTTACTGTTAGGCATCACTACCACAGAAATGTCGTGTTTACTACATCTCTCCCAACTGCATCTCTCCCAGTCCAAGCTCAGCGCCGAGGCCGGGAGCAGTCACGATCTGCCAGTGCACTGAGCATCAGTGGGGGTGAGGAGAAGTCTGAACATTCAGAAGCGCCAGACCACCACCTTTCGACTTACAGCGACGGGGGTGTCTTCACAGCCTCAACAGGTACAAGTGGATGGCGCTGACGTTGGCAGTCCCACCCAGCCAGCTCACTCACAGTTACTAAAGAGATGCTTTGAGTAAAAACAAAAAAATGTTTTAATCTTTATCCTTTTAAATGAGAAAAGACTAGAGTTATGGAGGGTTGCATGAAGTTAGATGTTTCATTTTCCTTGATTTCTCTTCTTGAAAATCATTCTAAGTTGGGGAAAAAGATATCACTCAGTTGCTAAACACAGATTAAAGGATACCTAGCCGTTTTTCTTCTTGTAAACAATTTACCCCCTTTTCAGCTTACAAACATGCAAAAACCACAGTGCTCCCACAACAACGATCATCTTCAGTTGCTACCCAACAGACAACAGTATCTTCCATCCCATCTCATCCATCTACTGCTGGAGTAAGTAAATAATAACTCAAATTATTCTCAATTTTTGATATGTGTAAACATGATTATAGCTATTATGGCCTTTTTTAACCAAACCACCTGTTTTAATATAATGCTCTTTTATTACACATTTCATATTAATATCAGACAGCTTTCATTACCAAACTCAAAATAATGAAAAGCATTTTCAATAATTAAAAAAAAAAAAAAACCCAAACCTAGAGCAAAGTATCAGTTTTGGCTCATTGGACTCACCTACTAGCTTAAACATTTGCTGCTTGGAATTATCTATAGGCTGGGCACAGTGAATCATGCCTATAATGCCAGAACTTTGGGAGACTCATGCGAGAGGACTGCTTGAGCTCAGGAATTTGAGACCAGCCTAGGCAACAATGAGACTTCATCTCTACTAAAAATTTAAAAATTAGCAGGGTGTGATGGTCCACTTGCAGTCCCAACTGCTTAGGAAGTTGAGGTGGGAGAAATGCTTGAGCCTGGAAATTGAGGTTGCAGTGGGCCTGGATGACAGAGGGAGGCCCTGTCTCATAAACAAAATAAGTATGTACAGATGTATGCAATGTGCCCGCATATATACATGCCTTATCTTAGATCTCGCCTATTAGTATAAATTGAAAAGGTAAGCCAAATCATCTTCACAGTTCACCAGACTACTTTACAACTCTTAGTTTAAAACCCTGGATCCCATTCATAATATCCCCAAAACATCATAATTTGGGATTGATATGAACAATCTTTGTATGTAGACAACTGTCTTTACTAAATGACATAAAAGAAGATCTAAGTAAGTGTTGAGATCTATTATATTTAGGGGAATATTATAAAGTTCTAATTTTCCCTGAAATAAACCAATACATTTAATTCCAATATAAATCCCAATAGCACTTAAAAAACTCTGCTAGTCCTAAAATTTATGTGAAAAACATGCAATAATCATCAAGTAAAATTCAAAAATGATAAGGACTCAACTAAAAAAAAGAGCGAAACATACAATAAAGCTATTAAAATTAAATATGGATTTGGCATAGTAATAGACACAAAAATAGATGAAGTCCAGAAATAGACCCTAAACGAATTATAAATCAGCAGGAAAGGGATAAGTTATTTAATTATATTATCTGAGGTAATCAGTTATCCATTTAGTAATATAATAAAATTAGATACCCATCTCAAAGCATAAATTGTACCAAGGATTTAGATGTAAAATCCAAAATTGTAAAAGTATAAAGAATAATAGAGAATACTTTTATATTTAGAGACGGGGTCTCCCTCTACCACCCAGGCTGGAGTGCAGTGGCACAATCACAGCTCATTACAGTCTTGACTTCATGAACTCCAGCAATACTCCAGCCTCAGCCTCCAGAGTGGCTAGCACTACAGGTGTGTGTGCTATGCCAGACTAATTATGTTACCCAGGCTGGTCTCCAACTCCTAGGCTCAAGCCATCTGCCCGACTCGGCCTCCCAAAATGCTGAGATTACAGGCATCAGCCACTCAGCCCGGCCACGATAATTTTAAAGTATGAAAGGGAACGCCTTCCTAAGCAAATTCCAAAATTTGGGAGTATAAAAGACTGGCTAATTTGGTCATAAAATTTCAAATATTTCTATAACAAATACAAACATGTCAGACTGGGAGAAAACATTTACAGCATACATATAAAAATATTAATATTAAAAAAGAATAAAACACTCTAAAGTTAAATGATAAATTATTCCCCTCCCCCTCAAAATAAGACTGGAAGACTAATAGATAATTTATGGCAAAATAAAAAATAAAAAAAAAAAAATGGCCAACAAAAAAGGTGTTAACCATGACTAGTAACCAGGTATATACAAATAAAAGTAATAAAGTACATAATATAAGGTATTTTGAATCAAATTCGATCATACTATATCATATTCGAACATTTTAATAGCAAACAAAAAAAAATTAGGTCAGGAATGGTGGCTCATGCCTGTAATCCCAGCATTTTGGGAGGCTGAGGTGGGAAGAGTGCTTCAGTCCAGGAGCTCAAGACCAGCCAAGGCAACATGGCGAAACCTCATCTCTATTTGTAAAATTATTTTTTTATATATAAAAAAAAGTTTAAACACATATCTCATTTGACCTAAGACTTTCACCTTTAAAACCTTTTTCTTCAGAAATTAGACACCCAAAGATAAACGCTAGGCGGCTTATTATAGTGTAAGAACATAATAATATGGTGACAACTAAATGTCCAGAAAAATGAAAATGACTGAATAATTCATATTACTAAAATGTGAAATTCTCTGTAGCAGTCAAAAAGAATAAAACACAGCTATATTTATATGAAAAGACTTCCAAGCTATATTAAATGTAAAGAAGAAATTACATTATTTAATGTTCCATTTATGCAGAGGGAAAAAGAAATCTGTGAATATAAATATATGCATGTGTTTTTCAGAATGCGAGAAAAAACATAGGTTACATCCTAAACTACTAACCAGTGGCTGCTCCCAGGAAGAAATTTTTGTTATTATCACTTCTTATATACCTCCAAATTATTACAATTTTAACAGTGTGGAGGATAGCTTTGAGAAACTTTTACTACTGGTATCCTCCCAAATTCCCAGAGTGAAAGATGACATGCAATAGTGCTATGGATTTTCAAATTATTCTCTAAAGTACAAGACTGACCTCTTCAAAAGGGAGAAAAAGGCCACAAATCAAATTAGCACATTCTTTTCTGTGAGTACATACACACACACACAATTTTATGGATGTATAACTTAGTATGAAGTTCATACTTTAAAGTGTACAATTCAGTGATTTTTTTATTCAACCATCACCATAATCTGATTTTAGAGTATTTTCACCACCATAAAAAAATCTGTATTCAAAACTCTTCTGGTGCATTAAAAACAAACAAATGCTGGTACCCACTGGCATTCATTCTCCATCCCCAACTTATCCCTTTCTGCTCCATTCAATCCTAGGTATCCATTTCCTATCACTATATATTTGGCTGAGACATTTCATATAAATAATTCATATAATTGTATGGTTATACAACATACTGACTTTGGTTCATGGCTTCGTTTACTTTTGAAGTTCATCCATGTTGTATCATGTATTAGTACTTCATTCTTTTTACTACCCAATAATAGATTTGTATCAATATACCACATCTCGCTTATTCATTCATCAGTTGGTGGGCATTTGTTCCCACTTTTTGGCTATTATGAGTAATGCTGCTATGAACATTGATGTACAAATTATTGCACAGGCCTATGTCCTCATTCTTCTTGGGTATACGCCTAGGAGTGGAATTGCTGGGCCATAGGGTAATGCTGTATTTAACATGTGGTAATTGCCAAACTCTTTTCCAAAGTGGCTGCACTGTTTTCCATTCCCACCTGCAGTTTATGAAGGACCCAATTTCCCCACATCCTAATATCTGTTATTATCTCTTTTTTATTATCACAGTACTGGCATGTGTGAAGCGGTATCTCATTGCAGTTTTAACAATTTGCATTTTCTGGCTGGGCTCAGTGGCTCACGCCTGTAATCCCAAAACTTTGGGAGGCTGAGGCAGGCGGATCACAGGGTCAAGAGATTGAGACCATCCTGGCCAACATGGTGAAACTCGATCTCTACTAAAAATACAAAAATTAGCTGGGTGTGGTGGCAGGTGCCTGTAGTCCCATCTACTTAGGAGGCTGAGACAGGAGAATTGCTTGAACTGGGGAGGCGGAGGTTGCAGTGAGCCGAAATCACACCACCGCACTCCAGCCTGGTGACAGAGCAAGACTTTGTCTGGAAAAAAAGAATCAACATTTTCCAGATGACTAAGAATTTTGAGCATCCTTTTGTGTGCTTTTTGGCTATTTGTCTATCTTCTTTGGACAAACGTCTTTCATATCCTTTGCCTCTTTTGGTGGCGGGGGGAGGGCATTGAGTTGTATTTCTTTATATATTCTGGATATTAATTACCAATCAGATATATGATTTGCAAGTATTTCCTGTTTTGTGGGTTCCTTTTACATTTGTTCAAGTTAAGTTTGTGGAGTAAGTCATGAGAGATCTTACAAATAGATGTGTGTGTTAATTGTTGCAAATCTAACATATAATATTTCCCCTTTTTCCATCCTATGAATAGAAAATCTTTCGTGCCATGTATGACTACATGGCTGCTGATGCAGATGAGGTGTCCTTCAAAGATGGAGATGCTATCATAAATGTTCAAGCTATTGATGAAGGTTGGATGTATGGCACTGTGCAGAGGACTGGCAGGACCGGAATGCTCCCAGCCAACTACGTTGAAGCTATTTAGACATTTCAAAGCATCACACTTGTCTGCAGGACCCATGCAGTGAATGTTTCAGTTTAGACTCTCCACTGTTACCTAAGTTCTCAAGCTGCCTATGGTTTTTCTGTGTCAATGTGATTTACAGTAGTATCATCCTTTTTCCTTTGGGTTTGAAAATAAGTTGCAGAATAGACATTTTAAAAGCTTCTGCAATATTATTTCTGTGCCCAGAGTCTTTCTCCATTATAAACATGTTTTAACATTATTTCTTTTCTAAAACAGATTTTTGAATATGCCAAACACATTAAAGGAAAAATAGCAGAGACAGTCACTTTTTCTTTGCCTACTGATTGCTAATGCTTATTCTAATTCAGTTCTGAAATTATAAAACTTATAGTCAATACAAACCAGCAACTAATAAAACCTCTAAATATGCAACACTCTGTGGATGGAATGAGCATTATTTTTAATGGTTTTAATATCTACCTATAAAAATTCAATGGAGCAAATTCCACATAAAATTACCTAAATTTAAAAAATGTGTTATGCGCAAGAGTAGACAGTCTCAAAACTCTATCTATACTTGCATTCAGCAAGCTTCTCTTACAGTTTTAAGAACACCTGTGGGCTCCAATCCTAACTTCAGGGGAGCTTTCCCATCTGTATCCAGTATGATGGCAACATGTGGCAAGGCCAAAGGGAGGAGAGACAACCATATGGCTTAATGCTTAAGCTTACAAACTGTTCTTCCTAGAAGGGAGCTAAGTCCCTGTAACTTTACAGCTATAGTAAAGCGGTCTACAAGCTTCTTATGTGTCTCATGAGACTCACAGGGAGAAAATGATCTTGCAAAGAGTGCACTTATTTGTGAATGACCAAAATACACCTGTACACCAAGCACTGGGTTAGACCCTGAAGCTCAACTGAAGAACAAGAGACAGCTGGTGCCCTTAGAAAAGGCAGATTATGCCTAACCATAACAGTGTGAGAGATTGCTACTCTCCTGCTCCCAAGTCTTCCATCTTACCTTAAACTGGATAAATGATAAAAAGTTAGGCAACAATCCCAGTGTGATTTCCAACTCCCAATCTTTCAGAACACTACAGTATATGCTATCTCCATTACAATGGGCTTTTGTTTTGTTTTGAGACAGAGTCTTGCTCTGCCGCCCAGGCTGGAGTATAGTTGCCCAATCTCGGTTCACCGCAAACTCTACCTCCTGGGTTCAAGAGATTCTCATGTCTCAGCCTCCTAAGTAGCTGACTACAGGTGTGCACCACCACTCCCAGCTAATGTTTGTATTTTTAGTAGAGACAGGGTTTCACCATGTTAGCCAGACTAGTCTCAAACTCCTGACTTCAGGTGATCCACCCACTTCAGCCTCCCAAAGTACTGGGATTATAGGCCTGAGCCACTGGACCTGGCCTGGCTGGTTTAGTTTTAAATTTCCTATTTACTTTACCAGTTTTCCAAGGTACACTTTGCAGTTGCTATTGCAAAGAAAAACAGAACTTTTGTCTCATAGATTTTTCCTTAACGCTTGGAAAATGTTCAGTGTGCAGTTGGCTTTCCAATTTCCTTGGGTTCCACATCTACAGATTTGACCAATCATGAATCCAAAATATTCAGAAAAAAAAGATGGTCACATTTGTACGGAACAGCTACAGACTTTGTCATTAGTCCCTAAAAATACAGTATATTTATGTAACATTTACATTATATTAAAGAGATGATTTAAAGCACAGGTCCCCAGCCTTTTTAGCAGCAGGGACAGGTTTCATGAAAGACAACTTTTCCATAGAACGGGGACAGGTGGGGAATGAAACCGTTCTACCACAGATCAGGCATTAGATTCTCATAAGGAGCACGCAATCTAGATCCCTCACATATGCAGTTCATGAAGAATTTAATGCAGCCACTGAGCTGACAGGAGGCAGAGCTCAGGTGGTAATGCTTGGTCACCAGCCACTCAACCTCCTGCTGTACAGCCTGTTTCCTAACAGGCCATGGACTGGTACCATTCAGTAGCCAGTGGGTTGGAGAACCCTGATTTAAAGTATATGGGAGGGTGTGCATAGGTTATATGCAAATATTACATCATTTTACATTAGAAATTTGAACATTCATAGGGTGGGGATGGTCCTGAAACCAATACCCCATGGATACTGAGGGATGACTATATATATAAAAGTAGAGAATCCTCCTGCATCCACCAATTAGCCTCAAAAATGATCAACTCACGGTTAATCTTGTTTCCTCTTCACCCTACCAATGCCCTCCTCTCATTACCTTATAGTGAATCCTACTAGTCACCTTTCAGTGTCTATCTTATAAAGGACTCTTAAAACACAAATCACAACAAAATTAACACACCTTAAAAACTGGCAATCAATATCCAATGTTCTAATCTTCCTGCCATCTGCTTGTTCTTGTTGGTCCAACGATAGCAGGGAAGTCCTTTGTATGTATCTCCACTACCACGTAGGCTGCAAAGAGCCATCTTCAAGAAACTACAAAAGGGAGAAATTACGTCTATGGGTTACATCTCAACCAAATCTCACTCAAATGTATGAGCTGCATGGTGTCCCACCCTGCCACCCCCAAATTCATGCTAAGTCCTAACCCCCAAGGCCTCAGAATGCAAGCTTGGAAATAGGATCCTTGCAGAGCTGTTAATTAAGATGAGGCCCTAATCCAACAGCTTTGGTGTTTGTTGGATTTGGGAAATTTGAACAAACAGGCACACAGGGAAAAAGTCATATGAAGATTGAGAGATTGGGGAAATACCTCTATGTGCCAAAAATGGCCAGCAAATCACCCCAGAAAGCTAGCTGGGGAGAGGTATGGGACAGATGCTTCCTCACAGTGCTTAGAAGGAACAAACCCTGCTGATACCCTATCTCAGACCTCTACCATTCAAAACTGAGACAATACATTTCTGCTGTTTAGTTATTAGGTTTGTGGTACTATTACAGCAACACTAGGAAACTAAGTTTTTCAACATCACTGTTTACCTCATTGTTGTGATTTTTTTCTTCTTACAACTATGGAGCTTTTCTTCAGCTGCCACCAAGGTGCTTGGTCCTGCAGAGGAAGCTACGGTGATGGTGGGATGAGGCATTTACTTCATCTGGTGGCTAGTCCAGCAGTGCCAGCTCTGCCCTTGCCCACACCATATGAACTCTCTCTCCAAGTTCTCTTGCATCTACCCAGCCTTCATTTGACTAAACCTCTCTAGTAACATGTTCAATGAAAAACTGAACTCATAAAAAAATAAAAATCACCACTTCTGGATTTAGATGCCAGTGGAACCCATAAAACTATGAATAAAACAGAAAATCTGTGTGATTAAAAAGCAGACCATAAAAGGGGAAAAAGAAAATAAATGGTTCATGTTTGTAGAGGAATACAATGTACACTCTGTGGTATCTGAATTATGCTATTCATACTCATTTCAGATCTCACTAAAACAACAAAACAAAAAACAAAAGTGTAGACAACAAAAAACAAGTACCAGAGTTTAGTTTTTATAATTTTATTTCAGGTAAAAGTGCATTTCTTAAAAAATATTTCAACATCCAGTTTCCATTGCCAAGTGGTAACAGTCAACTCTTGATGCATGAAAAGTTTCTTTGTGACTCAAAGAAAGATCTGCCCCCCCCTCAACAGTCATAAAGAACCAGAAATAGTAACTCTAAGTGTGCCTGCTTCAAACATCGTATAAAGCAGTGGTCCCCTAACCTTTTTGGCACCAGGGAACAGTTTTGTGGAAGACAATTTCCACAGATGGAGGTGTTGGGGGAGATGGTTTCAGGATAAAACTGTTCCACCTCAGATCACCAGGTATTAGATTCTCATAAGGTGTGCACAACCTAGATCTCTTGGCATGTGCAGTTCACAACAGGGTTCATGCTCCTGTGAGAATCTAATGCCACCTAGGGGTTTGGGACCCCCAGTATAAGAATTGTAAAATTAAAAAAAAAAAAAAAAAAAAAAAAAAAAACTGACTGCACCATTATTTCCATTATTTGCAGGTAAGTGAGGAATGAACAAGTACTTCTGTTAAGTTTCAACTTAAATCATTTTTAAGACTTATCAAATATAAATATTTTGTGAATGTAAAACTAAGCTCTCTTAGAGTTTACCAATTGATGGGGACAACAATATAAAGCTAATGACTGATCTGGCTTCTATCAGTCTTTTTCTAAGTGCTATCAGTCAGGTCTATCCACAGGAGGTAGTGCTGAAAGCAACTGACAATTTACAGACCATCAAGGTCCCTTAACTTCATGGCAAATATGTAACTATAGTTTGAGAGTTTAAGTAGAAAAAGAAGTGTATTTATAAAGTACTAGTGTTTCCTAGTATCTGTGTAATTTGAGCAATAGTAAAACACGTAAGTAATATCAAGAGAAGCCATTTTGGAAAATACAAGGGTAATAGAAATTAAGTAATCAAGACCTCACTCTGCCAGCTAGAAGCAAGTAATTAAATGGACTAACAAGCCATATCTGAACAAAGCTATCAACCACAAAAAGGATCGACGAACTCTGTAAAAGGTCAGACAGTAAGTATTTTAGCTGTTGCAAGCCATACAGACTCTGCTATACTATTGAACTCAGCCGCTGGAGCAGGAAAGCAGCTAAAGACAATATGTAAATGAGCATAGCTGTGCCAATAAAACTTCATTTCTGGATACTGAAATTTTAATTTGTTTTCATGTGTCATAAAATCTCCTCCTCCTCTTGACTTTCCTGACCCTTAAAAAAGTGTAAAAACCAGTCTCAGCTCACAGGCAGCACAAAAAACAGGAGGCAAGCTACAGTTTGCCAACCTGTGCTCTGTAAAAAACTTAAGAGTTAAGACTGCGATCTTTCAGTTTCTATACTCAAAACCAAGTTTGCTCTTAATTCTGTTTTCTTTTGGAAAATTCCTATCCTATAAAAATAAAAAACTCTTTAGATACTTGTTAGCTATTCCATTATGTATCAAAATAATCATTACACTATACTCTATTTCCAGTTCCATGACACTTTACTTTGAAGGTGATCTTCCTAGTTATACGTTGTTTATCCATTTAAGAAATAGCTTGCCTCTATACTAAATGGAGTATGCATTTAAAAATTCCAGCTTAATCTGCCTTTTCCATTCTTTTCATCTCATCACTTCTCAGTGCATCAATTTCTATCAGCATATAAGCTTGCTGTCTAGTAAATTTAGCTTTATCTACAATTATAAATAGGCATAGTATAGCCAAAATATTCCCTCTGCTACAAGTAGAGTACAAAAGTTACCGGCTTTTTTTCTCACTTGTGATATCAACAAAGGAAAATATTGCCTTCAATTTTTTAGGTAAGATGAGGGGTTATCTTCTTATTCCAATGGTATTTACAGCTTACCATGTCATATTTGGTTTTAATTGTTCTTTGGAGAGAGAAAG